CACGCACGCACACACGCACACACGCACACACGCACACACGCACACACGCGCACACGCGCCCACACGCACACACGCACACACGCGCCCACGCGCCCACACGCACACACGCACACACGCACACACGCACACGCACACACGCACACACGCACACACACAGACACAGACACAGACACAGACACAGACACAGACACAGACACAAAGACACAAAGACACAAAGACACAAAGACACAAAGACACAGACACAAAGACACAGACACAGACACAGACACACACACACACACACACACACACACACACACAAAGACACAGACAAAGACACAGACACAGACACAGACACAGACACAGACACAGACACAGACACAGACACAGACACAGACACAGACACAGACACAGACACAGACACAGACACAGACACAGACACAGACACAGACACAGACACAGACACAGACACAGACACACACACACACACACACACACACACACACACACACACACACACACACACACACACCGCGCGCGCGGGTGATATATCTAATGCCGGGAAGGAATGGGAATGCACGGACATCGGGGTCATCAAGCCAACCACTTTCGACGAATTCAAACCAAGGACTGTTAGATCACGATCTCACATGGCTAGCAAGCTTGTGGCGACAGGCAAGAAAATGAAGCCAGCTTCTCTTCGCCCTTGCTTGCACTCCTTCCTGGGAATTTGCGTCTACAATTGCCCAGCCTGCACGATCCAGCACTACGGCCAGCCTCTCCTCTGCCCTTTTCCTTGACGGGTATGGATGCATTAGGACGCCAAGCTGCGAACATGCATGATCTCACAGCATTCCGACAAATATCTCCGAAGAGCCAATGCATCCGAGAGTCCAGAAACGTCGCACCCGTTCATCTTCCAGACCCATGTGCTGACGCTCCTTGTCCTCGAGCTGGGCCAGGTAGGCCGCGATCTGCAGACGGAAGCTGCGATATACTGTAAGGGGCCTGACAGATTAGAATAGTGTTTTGGGGGCTGCTTACAGAATAATTGTAAAGGGACCATCAGGGTAATACTATTCGTAATGATTCCGACCCCTGTATTACGTCACTGTTGGACCAAGAGATTTTGGCCAAGCAACATCATGACCTGCCCTGTTGCCAGCCACGGCTTTGATTTACCATACGGGGGTTCGTGACATTGGGGGGGAGGGGGTACCTTATTGGGGTTCCTTGCTATTAGGGGATCCTAGTATAGCCTACTATTTCTGCAGCAGCTTCTCCGAATTTGGGGGATCTAAATGCGCAAACCCCCGTATACAGGGATGTCCACCAGGGCGCTGCTAAACCCAAGCTCCGGCGAACCTGGAGCTGCTTTGCACCAAGTCTGCCAACCCAATTTCCGTTGCGAAGGGAGAAGCCTGAACAGCCTTGGAGAAAGCACGCCATTTGCCTCCTTCTGCCTCTGCTCCTCCCAGCGCATGTCTTGGAGGTTCTGGCTTTCAAGCCTGGAGGCTGGAGCCGCTCCGCCATCAAAACCTGCCCTGAACCCTTAGAAGATATTAGAAGTCTAGGTCAAGTATCGTAACTATCTGATCTCAAAAGCTCAAAGAGGCTCAAGCAAGGCGCTGCAGAGCGAGCTCTTCGACTTCCCTCGTTCGTTGCTCTTCCTCCGCCATGCGGTCCCGCTCCAGCTCCTTGTTGTTGCCGACTTGCTTCCAAGGCTAGGGTTTCGAGATATCAGGGATATGGAGCTGTTGTCTGATGCGTTTGGAGACGGGACTGGAGGGGAGAGCCTCCACGGAGCTTGAAAACCGTTTAAGAGGCTCTAAATCTGAACCTGGACGTTGGGGGGTCTCCGCTCTGGGTGGTGAAGAAACAAGCTGCGGGCATCTTCAGCTTCCCCCACTCCAAACAGCACAGACATTCAGTCCTCATATTGCAGCACGCTTTGCAAGTACTTCTTCATCATCTTCTCTTCCTGGAAGACAAGAGTATAGCCAGAGGATTGCAAACACACACGTTCCGGTCCGCCAGGCATCAGGGTCGCAGCAGCCGTTGGAATCACTGGGGGGTCTGGGGCTCCTTCTGCATGCGCTTCAACTCATCCTTTCTGAGCTTCTTCCTCGGTACAGTACCCAACACACGTGGGGAATGTGCAGAACCAGGCCAGCAACATACCACGCCGACTCCAAATGCAACTTTGCTTCATGAGATCGTTTTCTATCCTTGGATCGTCAGGCTGGGTGCATCGCTCCACTTGCAATCTACCAGTTTAGGGTTGGGGATGGTTGAGCGTTGGGGCTCTCAACCTCGAAACCAATTGCCCATACACCTTTACAAAATCGACAGCTACACCTTCCCTCCAGGGAGTTCATCACTCATGAACACAACGATCTTTCGCAAGTTTGTGCGAAAGCTGCAGAATCATGTGGGTGCGCGACCGGCTCCGAAGTCAAGCTTCAACGCAGTATTCAACACAGTATTCAACTACAAAAGACTGAGCTCTGACCAAGTCAAGGTCTAGCATGGTCTGGTCTAGGGGCCTGGCCTAGCTTACCTCGACAACCACTTGAGATCGCGACTTCGCGACTGAGATCTAGGTTTCCGCAAATCCTTTCTACTGCATTTAAAGGGGATATGTCTGCACCAACTCCGCAAGGAATGTCAACTTCCGGAGTCTGGAAGAGCCTTCGCTGCCTTCACCCATGTACCCTGCGCATTGCCGAGAGGCTGAAGGCGGCTGATCTCGAGAAATTCTTCGTACTCACGTTGCTGCTCCTCCTCCCTCTCCATTGCCTGTCGAAATCAGGGCTAAAAGCACATTTGCGCAAAATTCAAGGGGCGCATCAGTACAGACTTATGGCCACTTGCCTCCAACGCCTGGGCCTCGAGCATGCCATTCCTGACGCACGAAAACCAACAGTTGGGCCACCTGGAGGCTGCCTGGAGGCAACCTGGAGTGGGGGCTACCTGGGGCTACCTGGGGCTACCCTCCCCCTGTGATGGATTCTGATGGTGATGCAACACGTGTTTGGTGCTGCTGGTGAGCCGCGGGGCGTGTGCAGAAACATCAGTTTGGCCACCAAGCTGCCAGTCTTCGACTTCTCGCTGCCGCTGCTCTTCCTTCCGCATCATGTCCAAGAACATGGCCTGGGAAGCTGCTGACGAACAGGCGAACGTGTGAACGCGTGTGACTGCATGCTGAAACTTGCTGTCTGCATGGGCTCGCAGCACGCCCATGTGCTTGGTTACTCACGTGCTCGCGTTTTTTGCCACCCGTCTAGCGACTGCTCCACAGGGATACTGCTCGGCTCCACAACGTGGCACGCACTAACAAACGACACCGTACAGAAGCAAGCCTCCAGGCGCGCATTGGTCTCCTCCACCTCACGCTGGCGGTACCTATTCGTGTCAAAGGTTCTGCAATCAAGTTGTGTTGTTGCCACCCACCGGGCATGTTCTCACATTCTCATAGTTTAAGTATGTTACAGTAAGTTTAAGCAAAACAGTAAAGGAGTCTCGGGGGTTCCTAGAGGGCCATGAGCAGAACTGCAGGGCACTCGATCTTTGCCATGGCCTGCAGCTCTCTTGCCCGGAGCTGAGGCTCCTCACAAAGCCGGGCGACATTAGGGGTACTTTCTTGGGGTCCTTGTTAGAAGGGAACTAGTTGGGGTCTATATCCGCCGAGGCCGGAGCCCCAACCCTCCGGCGGGTTTTTTTTGACCCGAAAGGGTAGCCCCCCGAGCTGATCAGTGTCCAGCTGAGGACGACGTGCCGGGCCCCCTACCCCCGCCCCGCCCCCCACCCCTTCTTAATTCGCCTCGGTACCCTTGCCGAGGCGGCTTCGCGTTGGCGGCAAAAGTAGGAGTCCCTTTTCGTGAACCCCCATACGTACTAAGGCACGAATGCTCATGGTGGGCTGCGTGGGGCTTGGGGATAGCAGGCATGTTTGCACTCAGACTGTGCAACGACCTTTTCTGTTCGCTGCCCAAAAGGCATGTACCTCAGGCATGGGACAAAGCCCCACGACGATCCGGAATGCTGTCATCTCTCGTGTGCCATGGTGGCGCTTAGGCCTGTCCTCCCTCCTGGTCGGACGTCCACAGCGTCAGGTTGTCGCGCAATAGCTGCATGATCAGCGTCGAGTCCTTGTACGAGTCCTCGGCCACATTGTCCAGCTCAGCAATGGCATCCTCGAAAGCAGTGCGCGCCATTTTGCAGGCATCATCTGGCTTAAGCAACACCTCGTACATGAAGACGGAGTAGTTCAAGGCCAAGCCAACGCGAATAGGATGCGTGACGGCCAGGTCTTTCTCGGCAATGTTCGCCGCCTCTTTGTAAGCCTCGCTTGCACTCTGCGCAGCCTTATCCTTCTCGTCATTGTCGCGGAACTCGGCAATGTAGCGATAGTAATCGGCCTTCATCTTCTGGTAGAAAACCTTTGACTCACCGGAGGTGGCCTGGGGAATCAGCTTCTTGTCCAGCAGAGTAAGAATGGTGTCGCAAATTTTCTGCAACTCATCCTCGACCTTCTTACTGTATGTACTCCTTGGCGTAGTTGGCGTTCTCCGTGTTGCCCTTGGTAGTCTCCTTGTGCGTGACGCTGGTGATGATGCGCCAAGCAGCCCGGCGAGAGCCCACGTTGTTCTTGTAGGCCACAGACAGCAAGTTGCGCTCCTCCACGGAGAGCTCGCCGCCTGCATTACCCACATTCTTCATGTGGTCGGCCATCTCATCGTAGCGCTCTGCCTGCTCGGCAAGCTTGGCAAAGTACACATACCTTCTCGCGATCGCGATCAGCCATGGCTGCAAAAGCCAATGGAGGGGCCGGTAGCAACGCGAAGGGCTGTACAACCTCGATGCAGCTTAGCAGCTGTTGCAGCTTGAGCCGTGACCGGGGCGCGCGCCAGGGTTTGAAGGCTTCAGGGAAGGGCGTTTCCACGGTCGCCTCTGCAGTGAAAGCACCACTCACTTCCCTGCCCAACAACATCTGCAGTTCATGTGTTCAGGGTACGCAGTAGGCCCTGCTACGAACAGGCAGGATTGCAGCTCGAGTTTCTGCAGAACATGCATGTACCTCAGGCATGGGACAAAGCCCCACGACGATCCGGAATGCTGTTCATCTCTTGTGTGCCATGGTGGCGCTTAGGCCTGTCCTCCCTCCTGGTCGGACGTCCACAGCGTCAGGTTGTCGCGCAATAGCTGCATGATCAGCGTCGAGTCCTTGTACGAGTCCTCGGCCACATTGTCCAGCTCAGCAATGGCATCCTCGAAAGCAGTGCGCGCCATTTTGCAGGCATCATCTGGCTTAAGCAACACCTCGTACATGAAGACGGAGTAGTTCAAGGCCAAGCCAAGGCGAATAGGATGCGTGACGGCCAGGTCTTTCTCGGCAATGTTCGCCGCCTCTTTGTAAGCCTCGCTTGCACTCTGCGCAGCCTTATCCTTCTCGTCATTGTCGCGGAACTCGGCAATGTAGCGATAGTAATCGGCCTTCATCTTCTGGTAGAAAACCTTTGACTCACCGGACATGGCCTTGGGAATCAGCTGCTTGTCCAGCAGAGTAAGAATGGTGTCGCAAATTTTCTGCAACTCATCCTCGACCTTCTTACTGTACTCCTTGGCGTAGTTGGCGTTCTCCGTGTTGCCCTTGGTAGTCTCCTTGTGCGTGACGCTGGTGATGATGCGCCAAGCAGCCCGGCGAGAGCCCACGTTGTTCTTGTAGGCCACAGACAGCAAGTTGCGCTCCTCCACGGAGAGCTCGCCGCCTGCATTACCCACATTCTTCATGTGGTCGGCCATCTCATCGTAGCGCTCTGCCTGCTCGGCAAGCTTGGCAAAGTACACATACTTCTCGCGATCGCGATCAGCCATGGCTGCAAAAGCCAATGGAGGGGCCGGTAGCAACGCGAAGGGCTGTACAACCTCGATGCAGCTTAGCAGCTGTTGCAGCTTGAGCCGTGGCCGGGGCGCGCGCCAGGGTTTGAAGGCTTCAGGGATCAGGGCGTTTCCACGGTCGCATCTGCAGTGAAAGCGCCACTCACTTCCCTGCCCAACAACATCTGCAGTTTATGTGTTCAGGGTACGCAGTAGGCCCTGCTACGAACAGGCAGGATTGCAGCTCGAGTTTCTGCAGAACATGCATGCTGCATGTACCTCAGGCATGGGACAAAGCCCCACGACGATCCGGAATGCTGTTCATCTCTTGTGTGCCATGGAGGCGCTTAGGCCTGTCCTCCCTCCTGGTCGGACGTCCACAGCGTCAGGTTGTCGCGCAATAGCTGCATGATCAGCGTCGAGTCCTTGTACGAGTCCTCGGCCACATTGTCCAGCTCAGCAATGGCATCCTCGAAAGCAGTGCGCGCCATTTTGCAGGCATCATCTGGCTTAAGCAACACCTCGTACGTGAAGACGGAATAGTTCAAGGCCAAGCCAAGGCGAATAGGATGCGTGACGGCCAGGTCTTTCTCGGCAACCTTCGCCGCCTCTTTGTAAGCCTCGCTTGCACTCTGCGCAGCCTTTTCCTTCTCGTCATTGTCGCGGAACTCGGCAATGTAGCGATAGTAATCGGCCTTCATCTTCTGGTAGAAAACCTTTGACTCACCGGAGGTGGCCTGGGGAATCAGCTTCTTGTCCAGCAGAGTAAGAATGGTGTCGCAAATTTTCTGCAACTCATCCTCGACCTTCTTACTGTACTCCTTGGCGTAGTTGGCGTTCTCCGTGTTGCCCTTGGTAGTCTCCTTGTGCGTGACGCTGGTGATGATGCGCCAAGCAGCCCGGCGAGAGCCCACGTTGTTCTTGTAGGCCACAGACAGCAAGTTGCGCTCCTCCACGGAGAGCTCGCCACCTGCATTACCCACATTCTTCATGTGGTCGGCCATCTCATCGTAGCGCTCTGCCTGCTCGGCAAGCTTGGCAAAGTACACATACTTCTCGCGATCGCGATCAGCCATGGCTGCAAAAGCCAATGGAGGGGCCGGTAGCAACGCGAAGGGCTGTACAACCTCGATGCAGCTTAGCAGCTGTTGCAGCTTGAGCCGTGGCCGGGGCGCGCGCCAGGGTTTGAAGGCTTCAGGGATCAGGGCGTTTCCACGGTCGCCTCTGCAGTGAAAGCGCCACTCACTTCCCTGCCCAACAACATCTGCAGTTTATGTGTTCAGGGTACGCAGTAGGCCCTGCTACGAACAGGCAGGATTGCAGCTCGAGTTTCTGCAGAACATGCATGTACCTCAGGCATGGGACAAAGCCCCACGACGATCCGGAATGCTGTTCATCTCTTGTGTGCCATGGTGGCGCTTAGGCCTGTCCTCCCTCCTGGTCGGACGTCCACAGCGTCAGGTTGTCGCGCAATAGCTGCATGATCAGCGTCGAGTCCTTGTACGAGTCCTCGGCCACATTGTCCAGCTCAGCAATGGCATCCTCGAAAGCAGTGCGCGCCATTTTGCAGGCATCATCTGGCTTAAGCAACACCTCGTACATGAAGACGGAGTAGTTCAAGGCCAAGCCAAGGCGAATAGGATGCGTGACGGCCAGGTCTTTCTCGGCAACGTTCGCCGCCTCTTGGTAGGCCTGGCTTGCACTCTGCGCAGCCTTTTCCTTCTCGTCATTGTCGCGGAACTCGGCAATGTAGCGATAGTAATCGGCCTTCATCTTCTGGTAGAAAACCTTTGACTCACGGAGGTGGCCTGGGGAATCAGCTTCTTGTCCAGCAGAGTAAGAATGGTGTCGCAAATTTTCTGCAACTCATCCTCGACCTTCTTACTGTACTCCTTGGCGTAGTTGGCGTTCTCCGTGTTGCCCTTGGTAGTCTCCTTGTGCGTGACGCTGGTGATGATGCGCCAAGCAGCCCGGCGAGAGCCCACGTTGTTCTTGTAGGCCACAGACAGCAAGTTGCGCTCCTCCACGGAGAGCTCGCCACCTGCATTACCCACATTCTTCATGTGGTCGGCCATCTCATCGTAGCGCTCTGCCTGCTCGGCAAGCTTGGAAAAGTACACATACCTTCTCGCGATCAGCCATGGCTGCAAAAGCCAATGGACGGGCCGGTAGCAACGCGAAGGGCTTTGCAACCTCGAAGCAGCTTAGCAGCTGTTGCGGCTCGAGCCGTGGCCGGGGCACGCGCCAGGGTTTGAAGGCTTCAGGGATCAGGGGGTTCCCGCAGCCGCCCCTGCAGTGGAAGAGCTATTCAGAGTCGTACTGCCCAATAAATCCGAAGCATCGCGTGTTTGGGGCTTGCCTTGGCAAGACTAGCAACTGGGACTGGCCAGGCGAGGTTCACAAAGCATGCACTGCAGCCCCTCCTGTGCATGGAGCAGCTCCCAGTGCCGTATCTCGAAACACCTGCAAGAAGCAAAGCCCGAATTCTCACGACTCTACACCACCTAAGCAGCACCACTGCAAACTGCATTGCGAAGTCCACTGCGAAGCCCTGTGTCAGAAACTGCAGCTTTGGAAAGCTCAGCTTTGGGCAGAAGATCCTCGTCTGCCATGGCCGCCGTCTCTGCAGCTTCCAGGCTGGCATTCCACTCCTCCACCTCTGTGCCAGCGCGAGTCCAGACATGTCAGTTGCTCAGTTGCCGCTCTGTTCACCCGGTTACCATCGGTTACCCTACCTGCCTCGTGCTGCTCACGCTCGGCACGCTCCATGCAGTCACGCTCGTACCGCTCAGCCAGCTGCAGCGCCTCCTGCATGAAAGCCTCCGTCCAGCAGCTCATGGCTTCTTGAGCTCAATCACGCAAGTTGTTCGACTGAACTGTTCGAAGCACACCGCATGTCAAAACAGCGCACGGCATTGGGAGTTGCACCTCGCGTTGCTGGAGCGGATCCTCGACAAACATGGCGTTGCGCTCTTCGGCTTCTCGGGCGGCCCAAAAGACTTCAGCCTTTTTCTGTCTGTACTCTTCCCAGCGCATCCTCGGCCAAGAGCTGCGTTCGAAGCCGAGGGGTGCTTCTTTTTTTCCCGGTCCATCCTAGCCGCCTAGCCTGCATTTGCTTGCGACTTAGACACTGCTTCAGCTCTTCGGCTTCCATGAGCTCCCTTGCCCGGAGCACCTCCTTTTTTTGCTGGATGGTACCTCTCGAATCTCTCGAAGTCACACGCGTCAGGACTGTGTGGCGCTGAGATGATCCACTTGCGAATTGCTCCACAACGCGCACTCTCGAATGCGTCACGCTTTTCCCGCAACTCTTCCACGAATGGAGCTGTGATGGAGCCTCAGCTGCAAAAGAGCTGCTGGGCAATACAATATTCGCTGAGGGTTTGTTAGAGCAGCAGTCCCTTCCCAGTAAAGACAGGAGGCTTATGCACTTGTCCAGCTCTGCTGATTCAGTGTCTGGCAGAGGTATCCTCGAGAAAGGCACTGTAGCTGCAACAGTTGCTCACTGATATTCTGGGTTTCAGCTGCAGTTCTGACGAGGGAGCCTATGACCCCAAGATAAAAGCGCCAGTACGCAGATGGTAGCCGTGGACCATCGCCAAGGCACATTTTCAATCCAATGCATTCCTTGTCCACGGCCTTCAGGGGCCACCAATCGCGGAGGGCAGCGAGAGCAAGAAGACTACTGGTAGCAATCACTAGAAGGATAGGTGCACTTCATGGATCCCCTCAAGCACGCGGAGCCTGCAGGGGGTCATTCCAGAAGGCTGTTTCATGGGCATCTTCTTCCTCTCTAGCTTCCTCCTGCACGTGTAGTGTAGCAACAAGAAGCCTGCAAGCCCTTTCTTGCCAGATCATAACCATCGCAACCTTTTACAACGGACATGGAGAAATTAGGGCCGGTCCAAGGCCCATACAAGCGAGTGCATCGCGAGAGCTTGCAAGTCACACACGCTGAGCACTGAAATAGCCAAAGCGTCAGAGGCAAACTGCCAAGGGACTGGTCACATCTGCGTTCTCTCGGAATCCCTTGACCGCGTCCTCCATCTGGCGGTGGAAGTGGCCGCGCTCCTCCTCCTCGCGCAGCCGCTCCTGCCTTGACACGAGGCAGCACGGTTGAGAATCTTGCAAATCAGCCAGCTATGCCTGTCACGATAGCAAAAAAGAGTCGGGCGAGTACTCCCTCAGGGATCGAAAACAGACATGCAAAAAGGAACTCTCCCGAATACCTGCTGATACCACCGACTTGGCAGCGCTGGATCCACTTCAGGGTTTCGCCTTGCTAGGCAGGCTTGCGGTTTTGCCTGGTGATTACCTGGACCACTGGGCATTGAACCGGCAATGAATTTTGGGGCGCTAAAGAGAGAAAGCTCTGGTTGACAGGTTCGCTTCCCTTTGTGAGGGGAGTCCCTGTGTGACACAGGTCACCGACGCCGGGCATGCCCCGAAAGGAGTGCCAATGCCGCAAGGCTGCTGCATGGCAGTTTCGAAGTAAGCCTTGTTCAGGATTTGATCGTCCGACTCTGTTTTGACAGCACCACCTTGCTTGCAGACGCCACACTGTCGCGCGAATGCATTGCGCACCCGTGACCGTAAGGCAGCCGCCGATTATGATATAGGCATTGAAGACCATGGTGCCGCTGATGATGGTTACGATGATGAGGACAAGGACATCTATCAGGCTGCCTAAAAAAAGGCAGCGTCAAAGGCTCATCACCCATCCAACAACTTTTCCCACAGGCCTAGCAGCCTCGCAACCACAACAGCAGGGATGCAAAACGTCCACACTGTCAGCAGAGAAGGAAAAACTGAATATCGGGTCACATCCGACAATTGGGGCAAAGGCCTGTAGCATCGATTGTGCTCTGGTACTGCGAGGCTTTGTTGTGCTTGGAGACCATCTCCTGGTTTGGCGTGGGACATCGTTCCGCAAGACCAGAGAAATGGCTCAGTCCTTGAAAGCGGCCATGAAGGTCAAGAAGGCCATGCATCCGGTGAGGACCGACTCCTTCAGCGGATTCAGCAGCACATGCCCCGACAAAAATGTCAGCATCCTTGCCTGAGCGTGTGTGCATTGTGCGCGCGTGCAGCGCAGAGCATGGCTCGTGGCCCACCTCAATGTTCAGCAGTCTCGCTGTGTATGGAAACAAGAGGATCAGGGCCTCGGCTTGCCGAAGCCACGTGTAAACCCTTTTGCAACAGACTCTGGGAGTTCGGCCGCACAAGAAATTTACTTGCAACACAATGGCAGTCGCTCGCCACCCTGAACCCTAAACTAGGGCAGCCAAGGAACCGCGAAGTTGATCATGAAGACCAGCGACTGGGCCGCAGCCCCGAAGGGTGGGAACTCCACGGCCATCAGGGCAGAGAGCATCAAGGCAAACTGCCGGAAGAAGCTGCCTCTTCGGGTATCGCTCTCCCACACACAAGCGATATTTTTTTAATAATATCATTGTTATGGTGATGATTCTTACTATTTTGATACGATGAATATTAATCTGCCTTTATTATTGGTAATATTAACATGATTATCTAGCCAGTGCTGCCCGAAGCGCTGAAGATGAGCACCCAGCCATATGTGAGGTAGCTGCCATCCAGGTGGTCTGGCCATGCCCCCTTCTCCGTGAAGCGCTCTTTATTCTTCCACTTGAGTTTGATCTCCTTTAGGTTCACCTCGTCCTGTCAAGACATGTCAAAAGCCCCTCGTGCGCTTCCTATGGCCCCGTCCACTGACCCCCCCCCCGCTCCCCGCTCCTCCAGGGTGGCTTTCCGCCTTCGCATGTCTGCCAGTGCCTTGTTCAGGTCCTTGCCGGGCTTGTCAGGCACCACAGCAGCGCCACGTTGCTTCATCTTCGCCTGAAACAAGCGGACGGAGAACATCGAAGTCATCAGCTTTTAGCAGCGCATCTGGAAACACCAGCTGCCCAGCCTCCATCAGCATGCGCTTTTCTGCGGCCTCGTTGTCCTTGCCAGTCGGGTAGGTGCGGACTGCCACAATGTTGCCTTGGGCTTTCTTTGCTTGCACACCTGAGCCTGCTTTCATGTTTACATCTGTTTACCTGCCTTCGTGGCACATTGCGTCTGCAGACAGATTCGCTGGACAGAACATGGATGGGAGCACCGGAGCAACACACAACATAAGAGACTTTCGGAGGCTGCGGTCGAAGTTGCTGAAGACGCGGAGGCGGACTGCTTCAACCCAACCCCTTGCAAGCATGGAAGCATGGCGGTGACACAAGATGGTACTCGACATGGACTTGGTATGACAGGAAATGCCGTGTCAAGCGCAGCATGCCAGCCTCATGTTTTCCACGCTCATTTCGACAGCTGCGACATAGATTGGGATGCGGTCCCCTGACTTGCCGCACAAGCAGATCCAGCTTCACAAGAACCTGCTTGTGCAGCCAGGCTGCGTGTTTTGGTTCCCGCTTGCCAGTGGTAGCTCCAGTACAAGCATACGTTCAACACAGCGAAACCGGAGCCAAAGACAAACCATCCCAGCGTTGCAACTCCGAAGAGCAGCTGGTAGTTGGTGTCGGTCAAATCACCTCTGTGCCGACACTGGGGATGATCAGCAGGTGGAAGACAACTCTTCGCTTTGCAGTCTTTGAAGCCAAGTTGCAGACAATGTCCTGTGAAGCCACGAGTGTTTTCGAACCATCCGCCATAGACTTACACTGGAAAGGGATGCTTAGCTGCGTCATGTGCTGCTGGATGAAAAGGAGAAGGATGGTCAGCATTGACCGACCCCACGCGTTGAGAAGTAGCCATCCTTGCACCTCCTCAGAGAAGGAAGTGGTGCTTCCGTTATGGCGTTATGGGCTGCAAGCTCATGGTCCAAGCACGCTGCCCTAGGGCTGTCACAGTCTGCACTTTAGGGTCCGCCGCTTGGTGGTCGGCCGAGCTGCTCGATATTGCGGGTCGCCACGGCTTTCGCGGAAGGAAAGGAATTTCACAACCAGGTATGAGCACGTGATGGGAGCCATCAGGCCGTAAGGCATGATAGTGAACCTCATGAGGGGCACAGATCTGCGGAAGATGGCGCTCAGCAAAGTGCCACCCCCATAAGCTGAAGCCATGTGGCATTATCCATGTCTGCCAGTAGGGGCTCTCTACACTGCAATCTGGTTGGAAGAAGTTGAAGTTGAAAGACAAGTTCGCAATGACTGCCATGATCTTCGTGAAAAGCTCCTTTGTTGCTCTCTCACTCTCGCCCCTGCAGCGATTTTTCGCGATGCCACATGCCATACAGGTGCAGACAGGATTCTGGCCACTCCAAATCAATCCGGCCGATACCGTTGAAGGACTGCATGATGGACAGAGACATTGTGATGAGCCGCACGCCCGAAGCACTTAGTTCCTGAGCAACATGCAGCGCACCAGGGCCGCAAAGTGCCGCAAATTCGCTGAGGAATCGAGCCAAGCAGCTTTTGCATCTGACGTGTCGAGCTCCGCTTCTTCGTCGCTCTTCTCCGTCCGAGGGGCCCGGAAGAGGCAGTAGATCCTTGATGCTATCTTAATGCTCATTTTTTCTGCTCAACTTGCGCTCTCTTCAGAAGGTGCCCCGAATTCAATGCGCCAAAGGGGCGGGAGCTTGCAACTGGACAGTGCATCTTGAACATCCTTAGTTCATGGCAGTGGGGACGGCTGAGACGAGGCGCCCACCGGCTTACTCTCAAGTCTCCAGTCACAAAAAACACGTCAGCACTTCGGTGCCGAGCCACTTGCTCCTCGGCAAGGCAACGAAGCATGGCGCAAAAGTTGCCAGAAATTGTCAAAAGCCAAGGGCGAACGAAGCGGAAACAGGGCGAGCAGAAGCTAGGAACTGGCTTCATCTGGAATGCCGGCAAGGTGCAGTGTCAGCCCGGAGGTGCTTGCCGTTAAGAACGAGGAGCCGCCAGGAATGGGAGATGCCCAGGCGCGAAGCAGGGGACCCAGGCCGCACCCCGGCCACGTGGATGGTGCGATCCTTGTCCACGCGAAAGACGAAGCCCAAGTCCTTGTGCTGGAAGTAGGGCCAGTAGCCTCCGCAAAGCGGCACTGCAATTTGCGCTGAAGCGCACTGACTCACTGAAGTTGGGGCAAGATTTGCTTCTGGTCAGCGACTCTGCCGAGCCTGCGATGTCTTGCTTGCGGATGACCAGGGTCACTCGCTTGAAACGAAACTTGTCCACAAGCTTCATCACCGGATTTCCGCCTGTGAGGGACGGGGGGGAAATCCTGATTCTCTTGCCATAGCTTTTTAAAGCGCAGCCACGCGGGAAATCGCGGGAAGCCTGCCCCACCACCTCCCATGGAGTTCTTTATGCGGTCCACAACTTTGCCTGAGCATGCCGCGATACCTCTCTGAACGGTGCTAGTGGCGCCCCATCTGCGAACCCAGCCACGGGCTATGTACAGCTTGATCTGGCCCTTGAAAATAGGATCAGAGAGCATCTTCCTGAGATGAATTGCGGTCGGCCTCTGACTTTGCCCTGCAAACCTGGCTAAGCTGTTTCTCGAACTCAGCCCAACTGATTCAACCCCTTCCTTTGTTCCACCCCTACTTGCTCGCAAAGCTTCAGGTAGAGGAGGGACAGAAAGAAGGCTCCGAAGGTCGCACACATGCCCAGCGCGCTGAACATCAGCGTGCCCAGGACCTGATCCTCTCCACAGCGCGTGCACACCCCCGAGTCCGGATCCTTCGGAGCAGACGCTGGAGCTTGTCTTTGGCTAGGGATGGCAACGTAACCTCAACACAACAGAACGAAAGAGGTACTTGCACAAGTCCTGGAAGTACCCAAAGACGCAGCCGCCACAGTTCGGACCCTCATAGCCAGTGTTGCACTGGTTCCCCTTGGGTGTTTGATTCCATGCGCTGGCAAATCGAACGCCTCCGGCTGCCATTCGCCTACGGCCGCTACGGCCTGCCTCTATATGCAGACAAGCTTCATTCAGGCATGCAGAGGAGGGAAGGCATGACTCAATAACCGGCCTGTACTCATCAACACCTGGATTTTGAATGGTGGTGGCTGCTTGCGCTTTGGACACGTAGAAATACGGCTTCGCGAGGGGCAGCATGGTCCCACCAGGGCAGTAGAGCATGCAGAGCCGGTAGTCGAAGGAGCCTGTCACCTTCGGCACGCAAACCTGTGACACAGGCTCAGCGCAGAGCGTGCCCTGAACATCAAAGGTGCAGGGCTCATCGTCCAGGGCTTGTGTCCTGAAGGCATCAGTCCACCAACCGAGAAGCCTAAAGCCCGCCTGCAATACGTGAAAACAGTGGTTGCTACCCGGCACCAACTTCAGGGAAGGCTCGTGAAGTCTGCCGTGTGGCAACCCACACAGGCGTAGCCAGGCTTGCCGTATGTCTGGGTTTCATCATAAACCGGCGAGAAGTACCCCTTCTTGCAACGGCAATCTTCAACGGAAACAGCTGGTGGAACTGAGAAGGTGTTGGTCGGGCACGCAATGCAGTTCGTCTGCCCAACCTGCCCAACAAGAACATGGCAGGCGCCTTGCTCGACGCCGTGGAAGGTGTGAAGACAGGTGTTTGCCGCAAAAGTGGCTGTGACATCGTAGTTTACAATGTTTTGTTCTGTTTTTTGACCATTTTTTGGGCACAATGCAAGAGGCAATATTGAAAACTTTGGAAGCAAGCGAAAAAAAAAGCCAAACAACAAACAGCAAACAGCAAACAACAAACAACAAACAAGAAACAGCAAACAGCAAACAGCAAACGGCAAACGGCAAACGGCAAACGGCAAACAACAAACAACAAGCAACAAACAACAATCAACAAGCAACCAACCACAACTTGTCCGTCCCCCGGAAAAGGGGGGGGGGGAGCACCTGGGCAAAGGGTCAGGCTCGCGCACTTAGACTCCGAGAGCTGAAAGATTCCCTTCTTCTCACATTACAACACTGTAAAAAACGAGGTTTTCAAGCACCCCCTTCTAAACGTGGAGATGGTAAAACGCCGAAAGTGTCGTGACGCGCGTCGTTTTTGAGTGTGGAAACGCTGAAAACACTGTAAATAACGATGTTTTCGAGCATGCGCGCGAAACCTAGGCGAAAACACCATTTCGCAGTTGACACGTGCCGAAAACACTGTAAATACCGATGTTTTCGATGCTTCGCACGATGGATGCACGGGTCCCCAAAGTCGACAACCCTTCCACGGCGTCGAGCAAGGCGCCTGGCAAGAACATGAACAAAAAAACAACCCTCGAACTATACAAGGTTAGTTTGCCCCTAAATAGGAAAGCGCTGCCTGCTTCGCACTTCCGAGTCCCTTTGGGGCCCTAGTGGCACTTGCATCAGACAAGCCGTCAGCCTGGTCTTGGTACATCGTGGAGGCGCAGAAGGTGCACCCCAAAGGCCACTGATCCGAGAATTGTGTCGAATAGGTCCCCTTCGGACACGGCAGGCAAGCGTCATCATCCTGCTCAAGGCTTTAACCATGCTCTCTCGCAAGGCAGAAGGCATGGCTCCAACTCCGAAGTACCCAATGCCAGCTGCGAACATAGCAGTCAACCCGCGGACAACAACCAACCGCATGGACCAGGCTGGAACTGGCTGAAAAGGCGGGAGTGGGGGGACAGCCTTTCCAAGTAACCATGTTGGCAGCTGCTCGGAGCCACCGCCCGTATTCCACGACGAGTGGTGGAACAAGTTGATGTGGTCTACCCCCCCGATTTTGGTTTTCCACCCTGAGGAGGATGGAAGGTTCTCGGGGCTCGGGGGTCCGAATGGAAACTACATGAATGACATGAGCAAGTGTCGAGCTTCATGTCACGGAAAAGTGCCCCTGGTTTTCGCCAAGCCCTGCATCGCATCAAGTCGTTCGACCATGTCTATGACGCTCAAGGGTGACATACGAGCGGATGAAATCGCTGATTGAAGGGAGGTGCCGTGCTTCTCAGTGGAGCCGAGCATGGAACTACTGTGAGAGACTGAGAGAATCACACTTCAGGATGGCGTATCACAAGGAGGTGTTCAATTCTCTCTTAACAAAAACCCGTCGACATTTCCAACAGCGCCAGCTGCTGTAATACAGGGCCTGTGGCAAGACCAGAGGAGAACTGCAAAACCGATGGCACTTCGTGGTTTTGAACAGCTGCTGCTCAAACGCTCAAACAAAAGTGGGCCAGGGGACTAGGAGGATCAGAGGACCTCACGCCGGACCAGGAAAACAAGAAGTTGTGGCGCCTGGCAGTCTGAAGCAGAGTCCAAGATTTACAACACGTTTACAGCAAACGTGTTTGCGTGCCTGACGAAACACTTGCATCCGCTCCACCCCCGTGGTCTGAATCATTTTGGGTGCGATATTGTTCCTATTTGCCTCAACCACACGACGGCCGGCTGATGAACCAGTGACCATCATGATCATTCAACCCAGCCGGCCTTTGGACTCTGAAATCCAAGCCTTTTAATGCCGAAGCTTCAGGGCGCTTAGGGACTTAAGGCTGCAGTACGTGCACGCTGCTTTTCCCCGGCTCCTCGCTTATCCGATAGTATCCCTCCTCGCCAGGAGAAAAAAGCAGACAAAGTCTTTCTTGGCACGCTACTGGGCATTCTTGGTAGCCATCCATGCAGGCACACTATGTCAAGGCGTCCTGCGGACACTGCGAGATCTGTGTCACCAAGACCGGCTGGTTCTTCTCCTCCAATGCTCCCACTTTCAGTATCACATTGACCTGAGCCAATTGGAAGGTGTGCTTTCCTTGAACACATCTCGCCGTCACGACACATCCCGATGTGAGGTCCATGACCTCCCTGATTCTTAGCGTCGAAAAAATCAAAGCGAAGGCTTTGCAGTCTGAAATGCAGCCAGTTGGCATCAACAGTCCTGAGCTGGAGTCAGGATGGCCGTCCAAGGTCTCGTTATAAAAAAAACTACTGGTGTGTCTTCGCATGTTTGCAGAAGAGGGGCTCAGAGATGATCCTGCCCAGAAGTTCTCCCTCCTGTGGATCTTCTCGCGCTGCACGACGGGGAGTTGTCATCGTGCATTTCACGTAGCTGTTGTTTTGAGCCTCTGAGTGTCAAGACAGCGCGATCTCGCGGGCCGCGGGTACAGAAGTAAAGCAAGGAAGGCCACACCAAGCAGCGTGCTGAGCATCGGACCTGAACAGTACAGGTTGCCAATCCAACCGTTACGCTGGCTGTTCCCAGCATCTGGAGTGCCGGAATCAGGTCCGCCACGCTAAGTCTCCTGCCCGCAACTTTGCTCAGCGTGGTGGGACCGGTACGTCATACGACCGTGGGCAAACATCGTGCAAACATCAGTGCTGGAGCATGCTGCCCACATCTCCATCCCTTGTCGAATCTCCTCGACGTCGTCTCCGCAGCCAGCAAGCCACTGAGCTTCGTCTCCCAAGCCTGGCACGCGGCCTCGGCAAGCGAAGCGAAACGAACCCTTCGGGCCATCTTCATCGAGAGGCAGGGATCGGGCACTCGCGCTAAATGCTCTCGCAATGCTCGCGCGCCTCGTAGTCGCCGTCCGCGGCCAGATACTCGCCGAAGGAGACCCCGTGGATCTCGATCTCCGAGTAGCCTTGAACTAGTTTCTGGCACTCAATGGGGCAAAAAATCCTCTTGACCCCTTGCCAACTGGCTTGTCGACCTCTGCGAGATGCACGAGAGTGCCCCCGAAGCGCGGGTTCCACGTCAAGGCCAGGGTTTAGGTTTCGGGGGATTCAATTTATCTTTCGAGGCTCTTTGTAGCTACTGGCATTGCCCGTATCGCGGTCAAGACGGGTGCCCATATATATATATATATATACTGTATACTAGACACACGTGCGTGCTTCGCACGCGCTTAGTGTCTGCACCAGCCCACGATGCGAAGGTGCGTGGGAGTGGTCTAGAGGGGACGGCCCGGACAGAGGGGGCAGCGGGGCGGGCAGGCTGACGCGGCCACGGGTGTTTTTTCGGGTCCGGGTTTGGGCTTAGGGTTTAGGACGCTTGCGCTTCCACGTCTGGCGGGCCCACGGGGTGAAGGGGGTCGGGGGTAGGGGGGCCGGTTTTTGCGGGTCCGGACAAAGGGGGTGGCGTGTTTTTTGGGGTCCGGGTTTAGGGGGCTTAGGCTTTAGAACATCGACCTTCGGCTTGGATGCAGAAGTGCTTTCACGTCTGGCGGGTTCGTGGATTTTTGTGGCAAGGCAGCACATATACAGACAGAGGTTGCGCATATTCGGAAATGACCGCCTCGAGCGGTGAGGGCAGTGTGGTGGGAGCTGGAGCATTTTAAAAGGCCTGCGAATGGCCGTGAGAGAAGCCGTGAGAGAAGCCGTGAGAGAAGCGAGAGCAAAACATGAAGGGAGAGAAGTGTGAAAGCGGTGAGGGCAGTGGGGGGGGTGGGGGGCGGGAAGGGAGGGCGAGGGTGTTGTGGGTGGAGGGCAGTGAGGGCGGGAAAAGAGGGTGCGAGATACTGCGTGCGGGGGGTAGGGGCAGTGACGGCGAATGAAGGATCGAGAGCTTTTTGTGCTGCCGAGGGGTGGGGCTAGCCCTTTTTCCTTGCCCATTAGATCGTTACATGACATCTCAACACCCTGCGCTGTCTCTCTGCCGGGGGCCCCGGCCGGCATCGTAGATAGTCCCCGGATTGATGGTTGAGATCTGGGGCTGTGGGAGCGTCAGCTTTCCTGCAATCCACGCGGCTCAGAGGGGCTCGGAGGGCCCCAGAGGGGGGCTCGGAGGGTTCAGGGCTGTGGCAACACACCGACCGCCCAAGAAGGCAACGCCGCCCAGGCACCCGTCAGAGGCTCGGATCGCAGATCGCCGATTTGAAGAACAACGCTTGGATCTGTAGGGATGTTGCGTGCATCCAAGCACTGCGTGATTCTGCACTTCCTGGAAGCACGCCGCGGGCTTTGACTTTCGGATCACATCCATCTGTCAGCCAATGTCCCATTACTTCTACACTGGGCAGAACTCAGTTGTTCAAACTACACCTGTGCATGCCGATTGGCCGCAGATCGCTTCTGCGAGCCTCTAGTGACTCTAAGCGCCAGCCGAGAGACAGCTCCGTGGCAGACTGGTACACTATGGAGCTGCCTCGCACTTTGCTTAAAAGCAAAGGCCTTCAAGAAACAAAACGGCACGAGGGCGTCGACCGTAGATGCCCTCGTGTGCAACCAAGATGCAGAACGAGAGCTCCGGAGTTACGCCTTGCAGCCACAAGCTGTACGTCGGTGAGTCCACGTAGGTCAGTGAGAGGTCCGTCAGGCTGGTCAGGGCACTTTGAAACGGCCAGGCTTGCAGCATCTGGCAGCATCTTGCAGCAGGTTACATCAGGCTACTCCCTGTGAGCCTTGGAATGTTCAAGCCCTGGAGGTAGAAGTAGGGCTCGGAGTACATCACCTCAAAGCTTCCAATCATGGTTGTGTCCCTAACGTGTTGTTTCCTGTGTGATGCTTCATGCTCCCCGCCGCATGCCTGCTCCACGACAACCGTAGCAGAATCCACTGTCGCTCCAGTGGCATCCTTCATGGCCAAGTTGGTCAGTGTTGGTGCCTCGTGCAAGACACGACCACCTACAGTACCAGCAGCACCTGCACAACTCGGCCAGCTTGAAAAGCAGTCTGACGAGGCGCTAGGAACTGCACCGTGTTATACTTCGCAGTATCGCTTGCAGTCTGCCACAGCGTGGATGTAAAGTTCTTCACTTGCATCTCCTGGGTGGTCTGACGGCGGACTTCAACCAAAACACTCTGCTCAAGAACGGACCGGCTCAGCCATCCACTATCTGGGTCAAGGCTCAAGCACCAAGCTGCTCGCCGACAGCGGCGTCAGCGTGAGATCGCAGGCGATCTCCGTCCAGCCCGAATTGTATTGCCTTGCTTGGCGAATCAACACAAGAACCTTCAGGTTGCGAGTTTCTGTGCAGGGTTGCTCCGATGTGACTCACACGCAGATAGCAAGCGTGTGTGCACAGAATCGTTACATTCGTGCTCCGCTCACAAAAACTAAACATATTCGCAGAATCTGAGCCGCTGCTATACTACCATTGCTGACCGCTTTGCCTGCTTCTGTGTTGGTGGTCTGGGACTGGCTCTCGAGTCCCTAGTCGCCCTAAGTGTGGAGTTTTGCTTTTACACACGAAAGGCCAGAGAGCTATGATTTCACTTGAAGCATAATTTCAACGATTTATTCTTTCATAAAACGAGCGGATAGTCACATAAGAAATTGAACTAGCTGACCTTCAATCCATTTAACCAGCTAGATATGCATCGCTGGGTAGTACACTTTCAAATACTGATGTTTGTCCCCCCCACCCCCCCCGCCCCGCCAGTTCACAATGTACACAACTAACTCATTCTGATTCACACAATTGAGGACCAGCTATGCTCCTTCATAAGGTTAAAACTTTTCAACATGCCCAGCGAATAATATTCGAAGAGAATATAGGACAGGGATTGGGGCAACCGATGGGCCTTCAATCCGCCGAGGCCTCGGGCCGGAGGTGTATAGGTTGTCAAAACAGGCACCCCCCTCCAAATCCTACCCCCCTAGGAAACCGGGGTCCTCAAGCGGACGGTTCGCCAGGACCAGAGAGTTGAAGCCCCTCCCAGCAGGCGCCCATCCCCTTTTTCTTCTGCCCCCCCCCCCCCCCCCCCCCACCCCCCCCCCCCATCCCCCCCCCCCCCCCCCACCCCCCCCCCCCCCACCCCCCCCCCCCCCCCCCCCCCCCCCACCCCCCCACCCCCCCCACCCCCCCCCCACCCCCCCCCCCCCCCCCCCCCCCCCCCCCCCCCCCCCCCCCCCCCCCCCCCCCCCCCCCCCCACACCCCCCTCCGCCCCCCTTCCCCCCCCACTCCCCCTACGCCCCTGAGGGGCCTGGCTCAACCCTACGATCAATCCAAGCCGAACCGTCTTGAACCCTACTCCCAAAAAAACCCTAAACCCCAAAGCGTGAACCTTGAGCCCTAAGCCCTCAATCCTAAACTAAACCATAAACCATAAACCCGGAACCCTAAACCCTAAACCCTAAACCCTAAACCCTAAACCCAACCCTTATTGCTTGGGGTCCAGCGACTTGGGCGCTGCGGAATCACCATGCTCACGCGGATGCGCTGGGCCGGGCCGAGGCGGGTCGCGTAGCGTTAACATTATGAGAATCATGCTATCCGAATTCGTTGAGTTGTTAACTTGACAATGAGATTGTGTTCAATACAAGCCGCTGTGCTTGTAACTCCATGACTACGACTGCTAACATAACGAAAATTGTTCAATGTCTAATTGTTCAATGTCTAATACTATCCGCCGGCAACTTAATCTTTAATACACTAAGCTGCACAGGTGTCCATCATCCTTTTCCAATATTCCCAGCATGTAGGGTAGTAGAATCTATTCAAGAATGGATATTGACATCCAATGTCGTTCACCAAAGCAACTCAAAAAGTTACATGTCAAACTTAAACTTGGGACACCTCATATGCAATTTGTCGGAAGTATAACTCTGAAAATGCTATTTACGAAGCAAATGAAAGCTTCTTCAAATTTCAACCCATGTTAGGTCATTGGGTACAATAAGCCCCCCTTTACAACAGAACATGGCATTACATTCTCCCCTTGTAGCTAGGCCTATGCTCCAGAGCTGTACAGCTGGAAGTGCTGCACCTGCCTGCGACAGACTGTGGTAGCAACTGGTCTCGACGTGTGTCGCGGCAGGGGGTACTCGGAACTCAAAAGCATAAAACATGCGCATATGGATGAATATAGCTGGGCAACGCGAGGCGGGGTGGGATGGAAGGCATGCCACCATGATGCCAAATCGATGAAGCTTCGGTTCATGAATGTGAAAGCGGGTCACTTGCAGTCGTGCGTTTTGCACACATCAGGCACTCCACGGATCCACTCGCGTCACTTGCAACTGCGCTCCGGTGACTTGCTTTCTCGGATCAAGTTCTGCCACCAAAGACAGGAGTCGCAAGTGAACCAGAAAAGAACCCAACTTTTGGGCGGCAGCTTTAAAACCACGTCTTTACCCACTCAAACCACGACAACATCGCTATGCGCAGTGTTTGCGGCCTTTTGGCCACCTAAAAAGCAGACACTGAAAGCAGACACACGAACCACGGAAAAGGCCACGCCTGCCATGCTTTCCACAAGATGACCTCTGAATACTCACGTGGCTTTGCGCAAACCCAAATCCCAAAACGCGCTCCCGCTGCGGCGGGAGGGTTCTTGTAGAAGAGGTGCACGATGGTAGGATGGAGAATGCCCAAAATGCCCATCATCCGTTTGACGGTGACGAAGCGAACAGACTGAAACTTGAGGGCCGTACTCATCACAATGCGCAGATTGCAGAATCGTGCTGAAACAGGATGAGCAAGTGAGAACAAGAGAATCTCGAAAGCAAACGCATCAACGTCATGTCTTGACCTCGAAAGGGAGGGCAACGTCAAGTCAACGGCGCAGAGTCCATTTTCGTCGAAAGCTTTGAAACCCCTTCTATTTCTGTGAAGTTTACGCCGGCATTGTGGTGCCGAGACGAAAGTCCAACAACCTACTAAAGCCCAAAAAAGCCACAACTCCAAGACCCAGCCGGAAACTCCAAGCGCCCTCCCGACCCCGTGCTTTGCGAGGTGCTCCCCGCAGAATCCTGGAGGCTCCTGTCCAGTGGCTTCAATCTTCCGGACGCTGAGGCGTAGGAAGTCCAAGGGGCTCGCGGAGATGTCAGAGTTTGTTGTCGGCACATTGGACAAGGCCTCGTCAGACGCCGCCCCGTTATGCAAAAGCTGATTCCCCACGAAGGCCCAGTACAACAGCGACATCTCTAAAACTCTTAAATTGGAACGGCTACAGCTGATGCCGGCATGGCTCTGTCGTCAGACGCCGCCCTGTCCCAGAGGCCGTCAAAAAGAAAGGAGCCACACCACTCACATCCACCACGGGAGATTTGAACGAGATCTTGTACTCCTTGTCACATTTTGCTGGAACACCAACCACATCGGCGAGATTTACACAGCATGCCGAGAAGCCATGTCAAAATCAACGCCGCCTTGCACAACAAGGCATGAGTCATGATGCACACTTGCTCACTTGTTGGGCAGTGCATGACGAATAGCTCAGTTGTGCATGCGAGGTGCTCATTTTCATCTTCACCTCAGCTTCCCATGCTGCCGAGGTCGATGCGCGGCGTTTACTATCATACGACTCGTTTCGTTTGGGGAGGGGGGGGGATTCTCAGTCCAAATTTTTAGCCCATGCCTTCAGGATATGTGGAGGGACCAGAACTCAAAGCCAAGCATGAGAAAACCTGGCACTCGGTGCAGCCTTGCGGCTGGCAGCGACAGTCCCTGTCCCTCGATGTTGGACGTCATGGCACCCCTTGGCCCACTTGGCTCTGATTATAGGGGACCTTTTTTTTACATCCAGGGCTTTGCAGGACCCCCTTTGTGCAGCTGGGAGGCTCGGATGTGGACCTACATGTTGAAACTCAAGGCCCAGGAAAGCACAAGCACAGCACCTGGATGGGTCGAGCAGCTCACTGGACACCGTCTTCGTCTGTGGGAAGAAGTTGGAGCCACCCAACGATATGTTTATGTCGATCAACTGCGTCACGGGATCCTTCTCCATTTCAAACGTAACCAAGTCGCCTTCGTTCGATTATATTTGCTATTGCCCATAGAAACGGATGAAACGGTGCATCCGACTGCACATGGCAAGGAGAATCTAAAGAGTTCACTTGGTTAAGTCACCATTCTCAGCTTGGATCTCCGAGCCAGCTCCCTCAACCTCAGCAGACTCGCCGCTTGTGGCGCTTGTGACGATGATTTTGAGGATTGCCAGCTTCGTGTCTGTGAACGACACGTTGAGTGCCTTGGTGTGAGGCCCCATTTTCGGCATTGGGGGGCTTCGACGCTCACTTCGAAGGCATGCGGCCAGACACGTGGTCTGAAATCTATCCATTTTCGGCCGTCCCCGCCTATGCCCCCTAGCCTTCTGCCAAAGCAAGTTGAAGCGAAAGCTCTTTGGGGAGAGATTTCGCAACGACCGATGCCTAGCAAATGCCAAGGCCAAGCTGAGGTTGCCACATAGTTCTGGCAGGGATAGGCTGCAGCATCGACGGTGTAGTAAGCATGGGGGCAGATTGTGATATCCAGAGAAGTTGTCAGCATCAGCAGTCTCGCACCATCAGCTTGTTTCTCATATGCGAAAGTGTGGTACTCGTACTCGGAAGTTGCTCCAGATATGTACTCAAAATTGGCGGTGTTGTATGTCCTCGGCATACAAGACAACAAGCGCTTGGCACAGAAACCTTTCTACCTCGTATCCAACCGAGGCTCATAGTCGCAAATTCAGATACTGGGGCAACCTCCGCAGTGCCGACCATCTGTCTGAATTACAAGAGTTTCATGCCACTTGTTAAGGCATCAGCCGTAAAGTTCACGTCGGTGTTGGCCACCTCACCAACTGCCTTCTCAACACCACCTCAGAGCTATGTAAGCACTAGCAGCTTCCGGCAGCAAAGCTCAGCGTCCACACCGAGTGCTCACAGCAATGAATCGTAAAACCACGCGTCGATCTGATGTGCAGATCCGGGCACACACGCGCTCATGCTGCGAGAGCAACATGACAATTCCAGTCTGCACTTGCTCGAAGGTCTGTGTCTCCCTCGCAAGGCTGCAATCAGCGACACTGGCTGAACAAGCTGCGGCCGAGATTGACAGATTGAAATTTTATCAACAAAGCTTTTGTCCAAGTGGCGATGCTATGGTGGCCTGTGCACGAGCCCACATAAACAGTACACACACACACACACACACACCTGCGCACGGCACGCATGCTGCACGCACTTGACCCCACACGCATCAATCCCCAATGGCTCCTGGGTGCCGTCATCGCATAAAGCCACTTTGAGGATACCCAAAGATTGCAAGTCGCTACCTTGGAGACGGTTGCCAGGGCTCTTGCTACGCATGCCTCCCTGTGCCTGTGGTTGCGAGACACAACGCGTCGTGGAGAGAACGAAAACAAGTGCACTTCAGGCTTGTCGCGGGTGTCCGCATCTGTTGTAAAGCCTCGGCAGTGCGCACAGCTCGAAGCTTATCAGGATTGGCATGCGGCGTGACTCACCAGACTTGCGGGCTGGGACGAAAAACAGAACTCAAGGCCAGCAACTTACATCAGGGCAATCCGATGGAAAGTTGGAGCACACGACAGGAACCCAATCTTTGTAGCGCTTCCAGCCAGCACAATTGATGGTGTACCTGGTCAGGTCACGACCGGGTCAAGAGTGTACGTACAAATTCGTTTGATGGCCATGTTACAATGTTCATTCCCGGGCGCTTCTTGCTTGGCACGAGAGCTGGAACGGTAAAGGTGAACAAGGTGTCATCAAAGACCGTGTGTTCCCCGGACGTCCTGCGTCAGGTGGTTGCGACTTGTTGCGACTGCAGCCTTGAAGCTCTGCTGCGCTGGGGACGCTCAGAGCGCGAGGATGCGCTTGGGGCATTTGGGGCGGGGACGATGGGGTCCTGTTGATGTCACTGCTGTAGATCGGTGGCCGGGCAGATCCCGCGGCGACCCGGCCAATCACCCGCAGAGGCTCAGCATCCGGCTCCACGGGCGCCACAGTGCCTCTGCCAGCGTCAATAGAGAAGCATCGATGCTGCGACGGCGCTGCAGTTGTGCGAGAGGTGCTGAAACAATCGGACAGTCGGCCTACCATTGTATACATGCACGCAGCGTGAGGTAATCTGGCCATGCTGTCAGAATCCCAGTCTGTTCCGAAATCCCGTGCCGACTTCAGACATTAGCGGCCAGATGCTGTTGCGCCAAGTTGCAATTGATTTCCGACGCCAGATCGTACTTAACCTTGAGCCCGGGCAGGGCACAGGTCGACTCTGAATTTGGACACGCCTGGTGGCAGAGATCTGTGCATCCCAGTGGCCTGGAAGGTCACAGACACGCCTGCATCCAACACCTCCTGTAAGCCGTAAGCAGCGCATAGCCATCAACGCACAAACCTTGAAATGCTGTTGCTGACGCAGTCAATGCACACAGCACAGCCGCATTCGTCCTGAGAGCTTTCCTGCAGGACTGTCCGAACAGGCGATGGATCGATGTAGCTGAAGTTCCACCTGACCGACACGCAAAAAAAGTTCCACCTAACTTGGCAACAGCCAGCAGAGGCAAGTGCCTGGAAGTTTGAACATACACATGCTTGAGATCAGCGGCCTGAATTCGGGATTCACCTTTGACGGCGTGTCCTCCGTGACGAACAAACCTTCGGCGATGGCACAACACATCCCTGATGCTCTCTGAGTCCAATGGTGGACTTTGGACTCTGGACTCAAGGGGACTCAAACGAACCCGAACCGCCCTAACCTCCTAAGCCCCAATGAAGATGCCGGAATCCCAGCCTTCCTCGAAGACGACATCGTAGAAGCATCCTGGGGCCAATCTTGGCATAACACAACCACGGACCGCGAAGGGGAGGGGGGGATTGAGGGAAACCCCAAACCTAAACCCTCAACCCTGAACCCCAAGCCCAAAAACCTAAATCAACCATGAAAACAGAAGGGAGGATGGAGACCGTCGAACCGCCTTAGCCCTTTTTTGCCACTGAACTACAATAACTGAAGCTACACCCCTCGCAGGACGCAAGCTCCACAGGCAAAGGCTGCAAAGGCTCCAGGCTTGATGAAGTCATCGGCCGGAAAGTTTGCGATGAGGATCCGCTCCTCGCAGGAACGAGCCCCAGGTCTTGAAACGTGGATCCCACGCGAGCGCATGCGCCGAGGCCTCCAGCCCTAAGGTGAAGTCTAAACCTTTTTAACCGATTCTCGAGCTATAAGGGCCTCTTGCGGCTTGCAGTGCCTAACACCACCTACCTAGCCACGGCACCGCCGGGCTGGCTGGTTCGTTGAAAGCCCAATTTGACGAAGCTTTCAACGGAGCTCATCATGCCCGACCCTCACCCATCAAAACCATCAGCAAACCATCCAAGCGGAAGCCTCGACGATCCAGACTCCGAGTCGGAACCGGAGTTGCTTCGACGCAAAGACTATCCCAACCAACCACAGATACAAGGCCCCTTGTACTGGACCAGGGATGCAATTCTGCACCGTTTTGGGGGCTTGAACGAGATAAGGATCGTTGATGCCGTGAAACTTGTGTATTGTGGGAGTATTCTGGGATTGAGGGGATGGCCAGCTCCTAGGAGTAAGACCCAAGCCCATCCTGAATAAGCCCGACTGTGTCAGCGCCAGACGGGCTGCCATCGATAATCCTCGGTTTGGGGCCGTTTCGGAGGCTCGACACTTTCGAGCCACTTCCGGGCCACGAGCGCCTGTCGGTCTGCAGGTCGCTCAAGGCAGCTTAATGCCAAGTTGCAAATTGGCAGGCACCCGCCATTGGATGGTCGGGCACCACTCCTCCCCAAGGCGTGCTCCAGCTGTGGAACCGAGTGCTGAGTTCTAAGATGCTCGAACGAACGGACGTGGCCAAGGCTCTTCGCCGCCAGCTCGGATATTCGTTCGATCAATGTAAAACGCTTTGCTTGTGTCGGAAGTGACGTACACATCGACCTGATGGCGGCGCTTCTATGAGCAGCTGAACACAGAAATCTTTGGGCAAAGTGCGACAACATGATTCGGGATGATTCGGGATGATTCGGGACTCGCGCAGGCACCTGCCTGCATTGCAAGGAGCACTTGGCTGACAGCACTATATTGATCACCCTCTGGAAGCAGGAGCAAGATGTCCTTAGCCGCCGTGAGATAAACGGCATGTGACACAAACACCCATCCCCTGAGGCTGATGAGCTCATGCTCTCCAGAATGCTGTGTTAGGAGCCGGGACGATGACGAATCGCAGCGTGAAAACTTCCTGGAGATTGGGTACCATTCTGTACCAGTGCATGTCGGTGCGCACCATCTAGACTTGAGATGTTCAAGAGGCACATTCTTCTCGACTCCAGCTGAAACACAAACCTTCGACAATGCATCAAGCGTCTGACGAGGTCCAGGGACTGTTCATGTTCGTATCAGTGCAAACCTCCATGACGCGAAACTGGTAATCACCTTACAAGTACCAAGGTTGCTGAGGGACTTGCCCTGACCGTCCGCACAAGACTTGGGAGCCGGCCACCCTCAACCAAGCCTGTTGCCATACATGTCACCGTGTCCCGGCTCGTGAACACACCTGGGTCGCAGGAAAAACGGCCTCAAGCTGCCATAAGCTGCCTTGAGCTCTCAAGTACTTCCTGGCTTCCGCCACAGACGGCCGAGGGGCTGGATTCACATCCGACCATCTCACCGAAGCTCGTGGTTTCATCGCTCTTTACCTGCTTGCCCTCGAAGGTAAATCCTTACCGCAGCGACACGCAATCGCATAGAAGCACATGGCCACTGGCCACCTTCATGCACATCATGCACCCTTGCAGCTGAATCTCCGGACCAAGCACAATCGTTGGCCAAGCCGGTTGCAAACTGGAGCCTGAGCTCAACTCAGCTCCGTCCGTCCAGTGCAGGGCCATTGATGCCAAGATTCGTGATGTCCACGGCACCTTCTGGCTTGGGTCTCGAGGGGGCAAAGATGGACAAGGGCGAAGCTGCTGGAAGCTCACCTGAGCAAATCGAGCCTCGTATTGGAAACACGGAGAACTTGCCTACAAGAGGAAGCACCAGTTTGGCAGGGCGCAAACAAATTCCGGAGGGTCCAGGATCTTGGCGGAGCAATTCAGCACGGCATACGAGCCGACGCCCGGAACGCGCGGAACGTAACCATCCGCACACTGCGGGGTACAGACCTCTGGCACATGAAGCAAAATCATCGATTCCCGCAGCTTCATTCAAACCATTTGAACCGGCCCACTGGCACAAAGCAGACAAAGCAGACAAAGCGGACAAGACACACTGGAATCTGGGATCTCACCTTACATTGCATGCTGGGGGGCGTGCTTACCACACGCACAAAAAAAACAAACAATAATGACAACAGCAAAACAAAAAAAGAGGCCAAGCGCTGCGAAGCCGCGAGCAGTGTTGCTTTCTGCACAAGCTTTTGGCAAGCCTCGGTTGCTTGGCAGCCCAAATCAGCCCAACACAACTTTTCCCTACCGGCCCTACCCTCCGCTGCGGCTGTGCCATGCTGTGCCAAGGGGCCATCCGTGGGGCTGACGGCGGAATTGGCAACCGTGGGCTCGTTGCATGGAAGGACATCACACATGACCTGGGATGTGAAGGGTGCTCCGGAGGCTGCAGCGAGTTTTAATGCATCGAACATGTTTGCGCGTTTCTGCGGGAACTCGAGGAGCTCTCACGGCTCTCACATTCGATTGGCCGCGGCAGTCTAGTGGATTCGACACAGCACAAACAGTGTGGGCCCTGCTGGCTTCTGCCGGAGCTTCCGCTCATCAGAAAGAAGCAGTCTGGATCAGAGCATCATAAAAAGCATCTGCTGGTGCAACATAGGCCTGCCACTCCTCGATCGACGGCAACATGGCCTCAGCGTTCCTCTTGATGGTTTGGTTCGATGTTACAGATGAGTGGTTCAAGGCAAACTCCACTTCCGCCGCACATCTCGCTGTTGAGCAGCCCCCAAATGCACTTGTTGGATCTAAGCCTGACTCGATCGCCCCAGATAGTAGCCGCGGAAGCCAGTGGCTGGGCATGGCAGGATCGAAGAACCTGGCAACCCTTCGCAGCGACGCCGTGAGATTGGTTGCGAAATGCGAAGCCGAGATGTGCAGAACATTCGGCAGAAGCTGCCAGCGGTTCCAGTTCTGCAACATCTTCAAGATGGTCCACCGCGCCCGCAGAATCTCGAGGCGCAGGCCTTCACGCAAATCGGAGCCCTGCAAGCGCTGCAGGTACGTGCATCCGAAGTCACAAGGCCGAAAGATCAGATCCCAAGCTTCATAATCGCAATGGTGGCAGTTTGGAGGGTTCGGAGAGTGCAGCCAGTATTCATATCTGGACCCCTTCAAGTGATACAAGTACCCTGAAATCACGATACTACTTGGTCGCCGGGTGAAGTGCACGAGCTTACCCGTGGACAAGACGAAGTGGACGTCTTGCTTGATCTCGTGCTCAAGCGGGTTATAGATCAACACCAGTCGACCTCGTGGACTGAAGCGCATGAAGGTTTCAGTGTACTCGACGGACGAATTGAAGATGGTGGAGTTTGGCCCTTGGAGGTCATGTTCGAACCACTTCCGTGTCCGCGCTCCAAGTAGCGCTGAGGCAAACGGGCCCTGCATTTCATCGTAGCCGATCAGCTGGGTCGCCAAAAAAGTTCCAGTTTTGTGATATGTAACGAAGGCATACTCGCGGCTCCCAGAGTCCCTAAAGCTTCGTGGGAAAAAGTTGGGCCTGGAGCATCTGGAGCTTGGTCTCCCAGACGCAACTCTTAGCCAAAACCGAGAGAACTGCCCTGCATCCTGCAGTGCTGCACAACAGAATCGCACTTCCCAGTCGTTCCGAGTGAAGCACAGGGCGCGGTGACCGTGCATGTCAAAGCGAAAAGGATCACAGCATGCCTCCCAAATATCCAGATGTGTCAGATGTGTCAGGCTCGTCAGGCTTGTATTCAGGCCGGTGTAGGCTGTGAGCCGCTTCACGCGGCTTAAGCGGAGTGCAGCCCGCTTGCATGGCACGGGGGTGGGAGAAGGCATCTGAATGCGTTGGGCCTACCGGCAATGTGTGTCACGCATTGCGGGCAACGTAGCGTTACGCAGTCTTGGGGTGCACGAGGTCGAGGTCAGGGGTGCAACGAGGACTTAAGGGCGTTTGGGATCCTTTTGCAGAAAGGCTGGGATCCCTTTACGCCTGGCACCCACCAAACCACGCAGACCCTTTTACTCGCCCCTCATGAATCCAAGTGGCAAGCGTGGGACTGAAAGCCGACTGGTAATCCGTATCCGACGTGGTAGTGCAGGTGTGAGTTGGATTGCGCGGTGCGTACCCAAAATTGCAGGCGCCCCTGGGCAGCACCGCGATATGCAGCCGAATGCTAAGTAATCAGAGCTAGATGCAGCTAGATGACACGCAATTAGCAAGCTCAGCCGCAAACGTGCATGTCGTGCCATGAGCGAAAGATGTCCCCTCCATGCAGTATCCAGTAGTGGAGTTCTGATTCTCCACCGTGGGAACCGAGCAGTTCGCCTTTACTGTGACGGTCCGCGTTCCGGACGTCGACTGTCCAGCGCTGTCCGTGCACGTATACGTGACCTACACTCCGAAAAGGGAGATGCGAAAAAAGCAGACGAACAATGACGACACCAATACATCAACCTGAACCTGTGCTGGACTTCTCAGGCAAGGCACGATGTAGTTGCCGGCAGTGTTTACATCAACTACACTGTTGATGTTATTCACAGGGTCAGCGATGTTTTGCCCATCCTCGGAATCGGAGCAAGTCACCGCGGGGAGGCTGTAGGTCGTGGTGCCGAGGAGGAACCAGCTCACTCCAGATTCCAGATATATGCTGGGAGCCGTGTCCACACGTCGGCAGTACGCTACGTGGCGATCCGTGCCGTTGATGATCATGAAGTACCGCCCTGCACAATGTTAAGCCATAATGACGATGATAATAATACAAGTCCGTGGCATGCGCATACCATGCATCGAATACTGCAAGACACCACTTCCGTGCCTGTGCAGAGGGTCATGAACTGGCACGTGCCATTGGGGAAGAACGTATATGCTACACAGTCCGAACTGCTGGCCGATAGGCAGAGCGTCTCACATGTGTCATAATTGGACACATCTTGTGTCCTTACAGACAGGACCGCCGTTTAATGTGCTTGAAGCACCTTGGACAGCAAAGGAACATCTCCAACTTCTTCCATGTCGGCCTAGGGGCTCTTTGGTGACAGTGCTGCAAGCAACACGGTTGCCACCGTACGTTCCGCCTGGATTTGGATCTTCACATCCAACCTCAACAGTTCTCGTGGCGGAGACATGTGCGCCGGCCGAGTCATAGCCTCAGCGCTGTCTGCACGCAGCTAACAAGCACACACCACGCTGCTGGTAGGTATCTGAGGAGCATGTGTAGGTCACCTTGTAGATTGCGGGGTCGTTGGCAAGAACAGAATTCACCACCTCCATCCGCGCCAGCGTAGAGCTTCCGGCGCTGCTGGACATGGAGCTTTGCTTGCACACGCGATTCCCATCATCAGAGGCGCCTGGGCCAACTGCACCGAGGCCGATCTACAACACGTTGTCAACACATGCAAAGCAAGCGGCAGGCCCAAGCTAGCAACAGCTCTTGTCATGACCAAGTCAGCCATGAGTCAATCCGATTTACAGCAGTAGTCACCTCACGTGGGCAACCACTTGCTATCGGCTGCTCGGTTGGCAACATAGCAGGTTCTAGACAGAAGAGCTGCGGTTGCTGAAGAATTGCGTCTTGTCCGCATGTCAATGAACTCAAATTCTGTCTAAGCCGCTGCCACAAGTCTGTGCCTCGCACATCCTCGGAAGATTTGGTGGACATCGCGCAAGGCCACCAGCCGTCAAGCAGCAGCCCTCCGTTGTACATTCACTGCCATCCGCACAGCCGTACCTTATTGGCAACTTCTTGGACACAAGCTACGCAAACAGGCTTCGGCGACAACACGCTACACAAACCTGCGATCGAAGAATGCCACTGCCTATCCTGGGACTTTCCTGATTCTAACTCTGGCTCAGCTGCGTATCATCGGCACTGGAGGGTCCAAAGAGCCAACTACATGAATCTGCGGGGTCGACCGCAAAGGAAAGGCCCGTGCAAGTGGCACCCGTAGCTGAAACGGTCCACTGACTTCCCTCTAAGGGAGGGAAGCTTTCTCCTCCAGGGGCATATGCTTGCTCTTCCCAGTTGGCGTCGCGCAAAACCCAGCGCTCGGAACCAGGAGTGCCCAAAGCTGTATCAGCCACAGCTTCTGTTTGTAGATGAGGGCCAGTGCCCAGATCCGTGCGCAGCTCATTGTTGCTCCCAGCCAGTTGCGTCGAGTACATGACACCTAAGGCACTGTCATTGTGTCCAGCCAGCTCGAGCTGGACGGCATCAACTCCAGTGCAGCTTGAGGGTGAACCTGTGATATTCAGTCGGGCAGGTGCAGCAGGCCCGACCGTTCCATACACGGTGAGCTCACAGACCTTCATGCTAGATGAACCAGACCCAACCAGTGTTACAAAGCGGCCAGCCAAAGGAGCATCGCATTCTACAGTTGTAGTGGTTCCCAGAGAGGTGGTGATGCCAGTCTTGCAGGCAGGCCCCACATTGACATCTGGTCCCACTAAGATGCTGACACCTGAGACCGTTCCAGCCAGAGCATACTTGTGGACGACTTTGCCAGCGCCCAGATCTATCCACAGGTTCACCGACTGTGGCACCTCTACGCAGGACTCGCAAGCTTCGGCCACGGAGCTGGCTTCGTCACCGTCAAAAATGTTGGCCACAGCACCTGCTGTTACTGTTCCGCTGGCCCCTGCCCTCAGCACGGGCAGTTTCTGCGAATCACCAAGGCCACTTGACCCCCAAGCTGTGATGAGACCGTCCTCAATATCTGTGCAGACTGCCCCGGCATCTGCGTAGACGCTGTCCAGTACTGACAGCATTTCGGCATCACCCGTGAGGAAAATTTTGGGCACGGTGTTGACCGTCAGAGTCCGCACTGCGCTTTCGGACACACCAAAACTTGTACAGCTGTAAAAAAGTGTTTGCACGCCGCTCCACTTGGAATGAGCAGAATTCAAAATGCTGGAGAATGGCAGGACCTGATTGTGGGTATCCCTGCAGCATACTCCCGGATCCTGAAATGTCTCTCCTTGGCTCATGCAAAACATGGGGCTAGCACGTACATGTTTCTGGCACTGACTGAACACGTACTGCAAGCACCCCTGTGAGCTGTCATGTCCTCTGCCCCAGCAGATTTGAAAATGGCAGGTCCACTGTCAGGTCCACGCCAAGGCACCGAGAAGCAGTGTGATGCCCGAACTGGGGCCCTGGACGATGGTTCCAGGGAGGCCGCTGGTGACAATCACAGTCCTGCCCGCTTGGCACTGTCGCCTACGATTGCCATGCCAAGAATTTCAGCATTGAATCCTACAAACCAGGCAGTGCGAAACAACACAGAAGCAACCTACTCACCGCATCTCCCACATCTATGGAAAGGGTTGAGGTGTCGCATCACACTCCGGGCCGGAAGTCTTGGGCATCTAGGAAATATAAATCTCCTGGGGATTCTGAAGCCCTCATTCGACAAACGGCGCGTGTCCTAGTCGCAGTCAGAGCTGTCCCACCAGTATCCGTGCAGGTGTACGTGACTGTGTGCGATCCTGCTGACGATGTGTCTACTGGAGAAGGACTGGCAGTGTATGCCAGCAAACCTTCACTGACGTCCACGCACTGTACGCCAGGATCGCTCCATGACTTGTCCTTTTCGATTACAACGACCGCGTCCCCTTTCAACTCTATGGCAGGTGCAACCTGGACGTACCGAATCTTGGTGGAAGTTCGGCTGCTGCTGTCGGTGCACGAATATGCGAGCGAGTACTCGCCAACACTGTCCAATGCGAGGCTTGAGGGGGAAGTCGAAACGGCCAACGGAACCAAATCGCGACTAACACACGCCGCACCCGGATCCGTGAAATTGGCACCAGCAGATTGGCGGACGATCATGGCCTCCCGGCCCACCATTTCCACAGGATGCCGGACTCTCACAATTACGGTCCTTGTGGTTTGGATGCTGGACCTGGTGCACGTATAAGTCACTGGGAAGATACCTTCGCTGGCAGTGGAGACCGTGGTGGCGCTCAACGTCACACTGCCAGTCCAGGCACCGTGAGATGACTCGCCCTCCTGGTAACACGCCTCCGCAGGCCAAGAGGTCCAGGTGCTGGGAGCGTCGAGCTCCCCACCCTTGATGACCACCCGTGGCCAGAAATCTTGCAGCAGGCACTTAAAAGCCAGCCCTTTCACAAGAATGATGGCGTCGCCAGCATCCTTGATCTCCAGCACAGCCCCGTCCGTGAAGTCGATGGAGACCGTCTTTTCCGATTCAGTCGAGCCAGCTGTGTCAAGTTCAACACTATCGAGTAGTACCTGCACTTGGTTGTTCGTGCCCGAGGCAGAATTTCCATTGCCGTAAGTCAGGTCGAGCTGCCCGTAGCCCCGCAGTGTGACGCTGATTCCGCCAGCGTCTGATCCTGCACCGAAACCCCTGTACCAGCCATTGAAGCCGGAGTCTGCGGAGAAAAGGCTAGCGTCACTGGCAGTGTCGATGGTCCAACCAGCTTCCTTCATGTTGGCCGCAGACTCGAAGTTGTTCAGCTGCAGGCTGCCACCACAAAGAACAGACCTTAGAAAAGGTCTTGTTGGTCCCTGAACCCGCTTGCTCTTTCAATACGGAAAGCGGAGCATGGGCCTTGCCTGCTAGCTTACACTGCTAATATTGCAGCAAGTCACGTCTCCGGAATCAAGCAGGACACATCATCATGGTCACGGCAAACCCTGCCAGCTTCGAGCAGGGTGCTCAAGCAGCAGATGTCCAAAGCTCCGTTGTCGGAGCAACTGGACCCTCCACAGGTGCCGCAAGAGCTTGCACAGCAGTACGAAGCTCCGTCTATACCACTGGGGCGAAGACCAGCTCGACACCACAAGTCCTCGCCACAACGCGCGACAAAGGATGTGCCAACGATGGTCACCGAGCTGGTCTCCAATGTAAACTCTACGTCGCCATCCACGTACCCCATCTTCACTGTGTAGAACTCCTCATCCACTCCCTTTAAGGGTGTGATCGTGTCGTTGTCAAACTCGATTCTGGCCAGAAGCACATCCGTCGGGTATGGAAGGAAGGACGTCCACGTGGTGTCTTCCAAATACTGCCACTCCACACCCGTGAAGCGGGCGCAAACGAAGTTCTCCGCAAAAGACGTAGCGGTCGACTGCCACCTCGCGGCACGAGAAGTTTTGGTGAACATCAGGAACCCCAATCGGCTCTCCACTCCTCCATCGTCGTCACACTGAGCGCCGCTGCCAAGGGTGCCGACGTCCCGCGTGCAGGTGCCAGGCACCAGCGATGAGGCGTAGTCCTCATCGCGTCCATACCGTTTCACACTTGGTTCAATTACGCTTAGAACTGTTCGCATTCACAAGACGGAACCCTCGACTGAACCACAAAGACTGGTCAAGAGGCATAGATGTAGAAGTTGCTGTTCACCCCGGTGGCAGTGGAGGATGAAGAGCACTCAGACACCGGTATACTGCTGTACTGACCACTTGACGCAGAAGAAGGTCCCGATGTGCCCGGAAAACCCACATCGGTACCTCCAAAGCCATGATAAGACCATGCATTTGTATCGGAGATGGCATCTGCTAGGCTGCCGTAAATCTTGAAGTCCTTGCCTTCCTCGTTGTTTGTAGACGTCCATTCGCAGGCCATCATCTTGTAAGCAGAAAAATCACTTGGCATGTCTGTGAGTCGCCGGTAGTAGATGTCCTGGAAGTCAGCGCCACAAGTTGCACAAGTCCGGCGGATAATGCGGAAGAGGCTGGCTGCGAAGCGGGCATCGAAGTCGGTTTGCCCCAAGCTGTAGGTGCCTGAAGAACTCTGGCTGATACCGAGGCGGAACTCCTGACAAGCTTGTGCACACACACACACACATCTTCTACCTTGAGAAACTCAAGATGGGAAGGTCCTGGCGGTCACCCGACAAGAAGACCGGATGGCGCACCTCTCCTGTCCCAGAGCGCCACAAACACGGCAGCAAGATGCGGCAAATGCCTGCTTGCCTGCCCCCTTTGCCTGCCCTTCGCCCTGCAGCAGTCCCGAGCGCACGATGGTGGGCACTCCGGTGGCACAGGAGAGGAAGGGGTATGAGATGTAGTTCTCCACATAGCGGTCGAAAAAATCTGCGCTGAGGGGCAACCTTGAGGAGCCTTGGTGCAGGCTGCATGCTGGATGCCGCTGCCTGGCCCCAGCTAAACATCGAATCGCAATGCTATTGTGGTTGCTGCTCGGCAGCTTTGTGAGGTGGCCGTTAAGTCCATGCATTGCCATGTATCTTCAATGTGCGTAGCAGACGTACTCAATTCACTTCCTGAGCATGGGTGTTGATCGCAAGTTGACCCGACTGCAATACCTGCAATCCCCGAGCTGAGTGCAGGCTCAGCATCCCAGAGTCCACACCTTCTTCGCCTCATTCTCAAACCTGCCGCCACAGCTGACAGTCACAGAGGACTGCGAAGCAAGAAGCAAGCTGATCCATGCGGGCCTGTGGGGAAATCGCACCTCCACAACGCGCTGAAGAACGGGAGCAGCCCGCCTTCGGCACTCATAGTTGATGACGTACGTGCGCCTCAGGCAGCTGGCAACAGTTGGCAGGGGCAGCTGGGGCACCATCTGGCACGTCTCATACCACACGTAGCAACTGTTGCAGCTATTTGCAGCTTGGGAACTCTGTAGTAAAGGGGAGGTAGTCCAGGTCCACTGTTGGTGTAAGCTCTTCACCCTCGTGCGTGATGCATGTGCTGCCAGTCTCCGAGAAGGTACCGCCAGAAACGTTCCACTGGCCTACACTGGAGCGCATTGTTGAGCCCCATAGCCTACAACATCTTCCGGTTGTGCTTGGTGTTGCTTGGTGTTGCTGGGTTTTGCTTGGGTTTTGCTCGGCCTGCCTGACACGCCGCCTGGAACCAACACCGAGGAGCTGCCGACCAGGGATATCGAGTCTCGGATCTTCACGGTCCGCGTGTAGTCAGGAGCCCCAGAACACGAGTACGTCACGGTGCTCTCCACTGGAGCCTAAGGCGTGCCAGACCACGGCATTCGTTTCTCGTTTCTTGTGCTTCATGCTCCACGGTCCACGAACAGAACATTAAAGCACACGAATGAATGCAAGGAAAAGGCATGATGCCGCCACTATGTTGTGCTAAGGTGCCAGAGCTCCGATGATTGATGGATTTAACGATGGGGTTTGCTCGGTGCCTGGTCGAGAACATGCGGCATCTCAGTCAATCGAAGATGACCATCTTGATGAACGACAACATGGATCTGCCACTACTGCCACTACTCGTGTCACTACTTTGTATGACGAAAAGCGTGCCCCCAAACTCGAGTTCGGGGCCCCCGTACTCGGGTTCGGGAACGATAACAACACTGCGGCAGCGGCTGAGAGCTGCTTTTGCAATTTCGCATCGAGCACATCGAGCCTGTGGTGTCGATGCAGTCCACTGTCACATCGGTTCTGCACGTTTGGTTTTCATCTGCGGCGACATAGCCACACGGGCAGTCCGTGTCGGTACTCGTACCTCATGCACAGATGTCCTGTAAGACGGCTGGGACCCTTGAAAATAATTTCGCATCATAACCTGCAGACCTGCAGGCAAGCGACTGGTCGTGCTACAGACAATCATGGCAGCTCGAGCTGCCACAAGCTCGTTGAAGGTCTTGGCGAAAATGCGCCTGCAAAAATGCCATCCACAACACAGGCACACCTTCCAAGTGCCTGGCTGTACTTGAACTGCATGAATGCGGGTGAGCGGCCAATAACGTGCTTCCACAACAGCAGGCAACATAGCTTCCACTTCCGTGCTCTGGTCTGTGTTCCCCGTGAAAGTTCCAGAGACATCTGTCCAGCTCGACCCATCCGTCGAGTACGCGACTGTGTAGGTCTTCAGCCAAGCTTCCTCCTCTGAGTGTCCCTTGGTTTTGACTCCTGGCGGGCGGCGACCATGGTTCTACAGCAAACCCTAGAACTGCTGCGCCCTGCTGCGCCATGCTGCGGCTAGCCGTGGCTCGCTTCTGGAGCCCTTTTTCAAGCCCTGGCCGCTCCTGCCACCTTGAGGTTTGAGCCCAGATCCATTTGCAGATAGGTGCCCTCCCCGGCAGTGGCGCTGGCCTTCCAACCCGTGGTCGTTAAACCACACCTGTCCGTGGTGCTGGAGTTGTCATCTGAGTACGAGCACGATGACTCTCCAGGGTTGGTGTCCGTAGTGTCGCACACCTCACCTTACAGATGCATGACGAGGACCCCTTGCTTCAGTCTGCCTATGGATGTTGCCATAAACACGGGTGCGTTCCAAGCCACACTTTCCCTCATTCCACCGAAGCCGCCCAGCACGAACCACATGGGGATCTGGCCCATACAGTCCTCGGAAGCGCAAACCGGATTTTGGTGAGGCTGTGAGCATGCCAGGAGAGTCATCTCAGCAAAGCCACGTATTGCATCGCGCACCATCAGGGTCTTCTCTATCTTCTCACTGGTCAAGGAGCAGGTGTAGGTGACCGTATAGTTTTCCTCCAACCATGAGAGTGAGAACGTCCAGCGGCTCATGCTGTGCTAGCTGCGCCCGCCTCCGTGACACCCCCTGCCGTGCCATTGTAGAGCCGAAGGCTCGCATCCCACGAGAAACTCTGGTGCATATCAGCAATGTCGGCATTGAACGTGTCCTGATGTGGAAGGTGCATGACTACGAGAGCAAAGCTTGTGCTGCTGCGTTGTCTCGAAAGTTCCGAAACATCGGACCATCAGGTGCCTAAATCTGAGTTGGCCACAGAGCCAAGAAGTGAAGTTCCCGGAGCTAACTTTCACGACAATTGAAGCTACGCCTCACCAACCCTGAGAACTCCCGAAACCCAAAACCGCACCCAACAATGGAAAAGGATGCTGGGGCAGCGCAAGCACTGCAGTGTCGTAGCACTTGGAGACCGTATCTGTCCAAGATCCCGCCTCGCGCTGCACCACCCAATACCTCGAGCCACAAAGAAACCAAGCAGTCCGCAGCAAGCAGACATCGGCATTGCATGGAAAACCAGAAGAAACCGGAAACCAAACCCAAGATGCAACGCTGGATTGATGTACATGCTCTCCACGACCGACACTGTCCGTGTCAAAGTCGCCTGAGTCAACAGCAATCAAGGGTCGTCAAAGAGTCTGAAATGAGTCAACAGCAATCAAGGGTCGTCAAAGAGTCTGAAACTTTGACCACGACGACTACCACCACCTACTCTTGTTGCATCCAGGCTTCGTCACTGTCCTACTACCTGTACTACTTGTTCACTTTCACCACTACTCTAGTGCTATTTTTACGACTACTTCAACAACTCCCGCTGCGACCACGACGACTAGAATCAGTACGACCACCACGACAACGACGACCGCTGCCACTGCCACCGCCACCGTCACCGCCAACCACTACCACCACAGACAAACACTACTATCAGTACTACCACTGCTGCCACTTGTACCACTACTACCTGCTAGATACCACCCTCTTTGCCCATAACCTAGTCGGAAGATGTTCGGCTCAGGCGTTGTTTTGCCACCCGCCAAGCAAACAAGCCTTTAGGTTTCAAGGTTGCGGCCCCCTTGAATTTGGACAGGATTCAGGTTTTGAAGCAGCTCATTTCTATGACTATCAAGGATTAAAAAGGTCGGGGGGGGGGGGGGGGGGGGGGCGCTGCCTGCCCCCGGGGAGGCCCGCAGCCCCCTCCCCTTTTGCAAACGATGTTCGCATGACGGGTTTTCAGAGGATTTAGGTTTTGAAGAGAAAAGAACGGGCAAAGCCAAGCCGAAACGCCAATAGAAGTGACCCTCCGACAACATTGATAAATAGTGGCTTCCTACGAAAATATGAAGCACATAGGGGTTTTCCTGTTAAGATTGTGAGAAACCCAGTTTCTGCGCCTGCCTTCTTGCGCAACGCCCACACCAAAAGTGGCCGACCAAGGGGATTTACGTGCTCAGCAAGAAAGCATGTCGCACCCCTGAAAAGGGCTGCGAACAAATGACGTTCAACATACCCCAACACCGCCTGCGCAGTCCAAACAAATGATCTGGACCCCTCAAGCCTAAAGGCCGCGGGCAAACTTCTACCTCTCCCCGAAATGTTACTCCTACTACTGAGTTACTGGACTGCTGCTACTACCGCTGCCACTGCTACGGCTATTCCTGCGGCTTCTCCTTCTACTCGTACTCTTCGCAGTAAAGGCACCAGCACTTTGTTGAGGTTGTGCTCAGTGCAGTCATATGTAACGGTGTACGTGCCCACTGTGGTGCGGTCCACCGTTCCAGAGGAGTTCACAGGAAGCGCCTCATCGAACTGATCCAGACAGGTCGTGCCGAAGTCGACCCAGGAGTCTGTGCTGTGAGTGCTCACCGTCGGAGTTGATGTTCCCGTCAGAGTGAAGGATTTCAGTGTACGCCAGGTGCAGCACAACGTCTCTGTGCAGCTGCGGAAGCAGTAGTTTCGCCTCCTCGAGGTGTACTTCGAGTCTGCCGTGCAATCCGTCGAGGCGCAAGTTGGCCACTCCTCACAGCACTCTGTATCTGTGCAGCTAGTAGTGCTGCATACTGTTCGGCGACGAGAGTTGCGGCGGTATCCCGCACTGCAGCTGAAGCTAGAGCACCAGTTGCTGAAGTTCAACAAGTCTTCACTCTGGACCGTTCTTGCGTACAGCTTGGCTTGCTGAAGGTTCCCACTCCAGGTGCCTTCTCCGCGACCACCTCCATACTCAACGGCCCCATCCGAAGCACTGATCTGCGCTGCACAAGTTGGCGTCACCTCCGCCCCATTCAGGTAGAAGGTCGACGCCTTTGTGCTGGCTGTGAAGGAAAGCACCACATGGTTCCAGTCGCTCTCAACCGAAGTCGCACTAGTACTGCACCCGTCCGAGCCATCCACTTTGTGCTCAAGTTGGACAGTGTTTGTGGCCGTCTGCTTCACGTAGAAGTTTAGCCCGCTGTCTTGCGTTTGTCCAAAGATCGGGTAGTAGGCATTGGTTGTGAGGCTGCCTGCATTCCAGTATGCCATGAACATGTAGTCGGACAACATTCCCAGATTGCTCAGGGTGCCCATGGTCACAGCCGTGCTCGCCATGTCGGTATCGAACTGATAGTTCAACTCTGCGGCCTGCTCGTAGACTTCCTAAGTGGCAGTCTGCACAAACGGCCAGATCTCTAATCTTGCCTTGCATTACCTCGTGGCATTTATCACAGCGAGCGTCAATTTCCGCGAAGTGCACGGCTGTTGTGCTGTCGCTAATGCTCGACCAAACCTTCACGTAGCGAATGGCACGCAAGTCGAAGCGAAAAATGCTTCCCGAACCCAATTCCACATCGCTGTAAGTTACATTGGGCGCATCATCGTCATCCTCAGCTGCAGATACACTGTCCAAATCTATGTGATGCACTGCCAGAGATACCAGAGGAGTGAGAACTCATTTTCATCGCGTCCGCCGTCCGCCAACTCAAAACTCGGCCAGGACTTCAAGAAACCCCCCGAGAACTGTCACTTTTTGCATCTGGTAAGCATATGCCGTGTCTGACTCGTGGACCATGGACCATGTGGTCCCATCGACTGAGACTTCCAGTGCCCGGCCACAGTACATCAAGTTCTGACAACCATACACCACTACCTGCGCAAAAGGCACAACTGCGATCGAGCAAGACAACCTCATGCAGCTGCCGTCCCGCCTTGTTCACCAGCTTTGTTGGCGCATTGTTCGACAGAGTAGCTCCTTTTTGCAAAGGTCGACTTGAGCTGTCAAGGCGGTGGCATGCCAGTGTTGAGCCCAAGAATCTCAGGGCCTTTTCGCAAGATTGCGCGTGGGGGGCGCGCGTTTGTGATCCCTGCTCCACAGCTCCTCTTCCTTTCTGTTGGTTCTTCCTTTCAAGGGTCTTACTCGCTGGGAGTATTCCTCTTCTCCTTCTCAAGGGTCAGGGTGCCTCTTCTTCTTTTTCTTCTTCTTCTTCTGCTTATTCTTCTTCTTCTGCCTATTATTCTTCTTCTTCTTCTTCTTCTTCTTCTTCTTCTTCTTCTTCTTCTTCTTCTTCTTCTGCTTGTTCTTCTTCTTTTGCTTATGAACTTCTCAATATTATTCATCTGCTTCTTCTTCTTCTTCTGCTTAATCTTCTTCGTATTCTTATTATTCTGCTTCTTCTTCTTGTTCTTCTTCTTATTATTATTCTTATTCTGCTTATTCTTCTTCTGATTCTTCTTATTATTCTTATTCTGCTTATTCTTCTTCTTATTATTCTTATTATTCTTTTTCGTCTTCTTTTTATTCTTCTTCTTATTATTCTTCTTATTCTTCTCATTATTCTTCTTATTCTTCTTCTTATTCTGCTTCTTCTTATTCTGATTATTCTTCTTCTTCTTCTTCTTCTTCTGCTTCTTCTTCTTCTTCTTCTTCTTCTTCTTCTTCTTCTTCTTCTTCTTCTTCTTCTTCTTCTTCTTCTTCTTCTTCTTCTTCTTCTTCTTCTTCTTCTGCTGCTTCTTCTTCTTCTTCTTTTGCCTGCTCGTCTTCTTCTTCTTATTCTTCTTATTCTTTTGCCTGCTCGTCTTCTTCTTCTTCTTCTTCTTCTCCTTCTTCTTCTTCTTCTTCTTCTTCTTCTTCTTCTTCTTCTTCTTCTTCTTCTTCTGCTGCTTCTTCCTTCTTCTGTTGCTTCTTCTTCTCCTTATTCTTCCTCACAAACACTCTTTCCTCTCCCAGACAAGAACTCAACACCTTCACTGCGGAGGGCATGTATGTCCACCAGTCCTAGATCAAGTTGCACCCAGTACTTGGACGTGCAGAGCTCTGTGGATGCTGTGGCCATAGCCCCCGAAAAAGAGGCACTGTCAGTGCATTTGCTGCCATCGATAATCTGACTGCCTGAGCTCACTGGCTTAGCAGGTTCCAGTGCAGACAATTTCTTGCTCAAGCCGAGCTGCCACAGTTCGTGACATCTGCATGGCACGTGACGCCTGCACAGGATGTTTCCCACATACACTTACTTCACGCATGCTGCGCATTGCAGGTTGGCAGAGTTTGCTTGCCTGCAGTCGAGGCATAGTTGGTCGAGGTTCCGGCTCTCAAGGGCCCACATGTCACCAGTCCGGCACGCATCGCCAGCGCTCCGTTGACTGTAGCAGGCCAAATCCGAACATAACCTGAGTCGGAAACAATGCCGCCTGCAACACACTGCCTTACTCTGCACGATATCGAAGCAATGAGCGCATGCAATCACATGCATTGCAACCAGTAACGGGCACGCATTGGCAACGGAAATCTGGACAGCTTCTGTGTCGTCTTGTCACCGGCCGTAGTATACGTTCCGGCGATCGCAACATAGTTGCTGTTGTCCTCACCTCGGCTAAAGGCTCCCACCTATGCCCTACTGTAGCTTCCCGGCCCCACTGAAAAAAAACTAAAGAGAAAGACCCTTCAACCCCCCCTCAACTATGCCAGTCACTGAAGTCGACCTGCCCAGCCAGGGGCACACGGCACAATCACAAGTGGATGACCGGTTGACACACCCGAACTCGCCCCTGCCTCGAAGGTTTTGACCCAATAGTCTGCACTGCCGCTCCCTTGTGTGATGACACCGCAAACCTCAGGCAGCCCATACTCAGCACTGATTTCGCAACAAGTTTTAACGCTCAACCCGACCAAAACTCGAGACTGCCGAGTCAGGAACGTAGTAGTTGCTGGAGCCCACATCTATGGTCATGTGCTCGTCGGTATCATTTGCAGCCCGCCACATCTGGTCATCGCTGGTGTCGTCCAAGGCTCCTGCGCAAAAATCAGCAAAAGGACCGCACAACACAATACCTTACTTGACCAAGGAAAAGCTCGGAGGACTCAAACAGAATCCCCGCATCTCGATCGGAGCAAACAGTCACGTGCGACACAAACAACTTTCAGCCCGTCCTACTTTAGCCGTGTCCGCGAAGCTGCTTGAGTAAGTCCTTCTGGATGCGGAACGAGTTTCGGCGCCAACTATTCATTCAGAGCTGGACATGGGGGCTACACATGGCACACTTGCTTCAACCAGACTCCGACAGCTAGAATCCAGAAAACGGCCTTTGTGAAGAAGTGCTTGCCGGATTCACCAGCTGCGGACCCCAGTTCGCAGGGTAACACTCGCACCTCATCACACAAGTGCGCAGCATTCCAGGTGCCGAAAAATGCCGCTCATTGCTGGTGCCAACCAGCTGATGTGCAACCTGGAGACACCTGGCTGTCCATAGTCTCATCACAGCCATACCTGCCCGAGGCTACTTGGCCAGCCTGTGTTCGCCCATGCGCGCAACGAACAGGCGCCTGGTCTGCGATTGATAAGCCTCGGTGACTGAGCCATCTCAACTCATCAGCCAGCCAAGCTTGGTTGTTAGCTTGTGAAACCCAAGTCAAGTGGGGGGCATCAGGGTCCCCGAAGGCACTCCTTGCGGCCCTGGCAGCTGTAGTCGACGAGAGCGTGCACGAGCCGCTGGAGGCAGCTGCTTTGAGGCATTGCATCCCGTATGTCGCACAGAAGGTGCCTCGGAAGAAAGCAAAGAAAGGCCTGCAGAGCGCTGCTCTGACTTGCTGCAGTGCTGAGCTTTCGGCTGCATGATTTCGGGGAGAGCGTGCTTGTGTCTGCATCCACGAGGCAAGTGCCTACAGCAAAGTGAAGAATTCAAACAGCCTCACCAGGCCAGTAGTGTCAGTAGTGCTCATTGGCTGCATCTAGTTCCAAGTGGCCCTTGGTGTGCCACGTGTCCAACTGCACTCGGCAATCGGTTCCTGCCATCAAAACATGGGACAATCGACCGCTGCAAGCAACTACATTCCACTCTGCATGCTGCAGAATCGCCTGGAAGGTAGCAGGCTGTAAGCTTTGCCACACCAAGCTGCTCAGCTGTCAAAACCTGCCACGACGAAGGGAGGGCATTGCAGGTGCACTGCCAGGGTCGTGCAAGAAGCCTCAAGGAAAACATTGACATCAGAAATGGAGCCCGTCCAGGTGGTTGTGGCTCCTCGTTGTAAAGCTCCGCCAAGATAGAACCTCAGACACTCGCACAGCCCATTCGAATCAGATGCAAAGCACCCAGTATTCAACCAAAATGGACCATAACACCAGTCATGCACGCCAGCTGAGCCTGGCACTGGTTGGTTTCATCCGTATTCAAAGACTCGATATCCTGGGCTAGCTTAGATAGAGCCACTAACTATACTAACTGAAGCACACGAGCCAATTAGAGCCATGCTGCTGAGCAGGTCTTGTCCAAACCTCCGTCAATGTAGATTGACTGGGTTTTTGCATCCTTATCATAAACGAAGGCCACGTGCTGCCTTGGCTGGGCAGGGAACCGATTCCATCTTGGCCGCTTTTCTTGCTCCTTAACCTCGACAGGGCCTCGCGCGACAACTGTTGCGCGACAGGCCGCGACAAGGGTTTTGCAACCGACCTCCTGCGATGCTGCTCCTTACAACTCCTCCGCACTACGACCCGCTTTCCCCATTCGGAAAGACCCGAACCCTAGCTGGCCCAGCCTGGCCCTCCCCCGTCGTTCTCCCCCCAGCACCCTACAAAGCCAACGCCGGGACTTGAAAGTGAGTGCAAAAAGTAAAACCGAGCCAAGCTAGCTGTGTAGAAAAGAACTTTCACCTGGACTGGAATCTGCCTTCGCCCCTTTCCAGCAGGCGTGCGTTAAGTAGTTCTCACCGGGCTGCCACACATCCTTGCTGAGGGAGGTGTCTGAGTGGCACTCCTGCAAGTAGTGACCTTTTCCGCAGTGAGAACAACTTCTACCAAGGGCTGCTTCAGTCAGATCCAACATGCAAACAAAAAAGAAACAGCAAACATACTGACCTTTTACTGCCAGGAAACTGATGTAGTACCGTCCGTCTTTCAAGCTAATGTCAAAACGGGTTCTGTCGAACTGAGCCGTCAAGGTCGTGGTAGTTGTTACGGAAACGGTGCTTGAGGTCAGCGTTGTCGTGACGACACTGGTTGTGGTGGATGATACAGTGCTGACTGTGGACGAGGAGGTCGTTAGTGTTGTCAAGGTGGCCGATACTGTGGAAGTGGTTGAAGTCAGCGATACAGTTGCAGTTGTGCTGGTTGTTGTCGAAGTCACAGAAGTCTCACTCGTTGTCCTCCAATTGATGCTTGCAGGCGAAAGCAACCGATACTTCACCTCGCCTCCCCTAGCCACCCAGCAACGAGCCAAAAACAAGCAATCTGAGAGTCTCAAAACACGAGAGCAGAAGACCCCCAACATGTCCTGGTTGTTGTGGTCAACGAAGTCGTTGTCACCGTGACTGAGGTGAAGACTGCCGCCGAAACAGTGTTGGCCAGGAAGGTGACGGTCCAGCTCTTCGACGCACAGCTGTCGGACAAAGAAGGAAAGGCGGTAGTGCAGAGGTACTTGCTGGAGGACGAGTGCTGCAAGGTTACGGAGCTATCGACCGTGGCATATTTCCAGAGGCCGTTGCTGCTGGCAGTACTCTCCAAGGACAATGTGGACCCGTCGGAAGCAAGGTAAGTGCCATGCTTCACGTTCTTCAGCCTCACAGCATCGCTGCTCACATACTCCACAGACCAAAAGAACTCGTCGTTCTCTTCATACGCATCCGAAAACAAGGCAGAGTAAACCGAGCTCCAATGCAAGTAGCCTGGGCACTGCCAGCGGCGCACAACAAACTTCAATACCAGCACTCACGCAAGGCGTCCAACGGGGGCATGTGGTGAAGAAGTCTTACTTAAGGCTTGATGAAAGAACCCTCTGACCTTTTCTAGCTCGCAAAGAGTGCTTGGCAACACTCTGACCGCATCGTGTGTCAAGGGCCAGCGGAATCTGGCGAAAATTGCCTACTCAGCCCAGAAACGGCTCATTGCCCACACCGTGGATGTTGTTGAAGTCGAGGTCGCTGTGGCAGTTGTGGCGGTTGAAGTTGTTGAAGTTGAAGACGTTGCGGTTAAAGTTGAAGATGTGGTAGACGAGGATGAGTAAGACGAGGATGAAGAAGATGAAGAAGAAGTAGTCGAAGTTGAATCAGTTGTTGTGGTCGTTGCTGTAAGTGTTGTATCAGTTGATGTTGTGACCGTTGAAGATGTTATCGATACGGATGTTGATGAAGTACTGGAACTGCTCGTGGTAGTCGTGCTCGGGCCTGTGGTTGATGTCGTACTCGATGATGAGGTACTGGATGATGTTGAAGCAGATGACGTGGTACTGGATGACGTGACAGTAGAGGATGTAACAGTCAATGATGTGTCCGTGGAAGTGGTGGATGTGATCGTCGTTGTTGTATCTTCGTAATGAAAGGTGGCCACGCCATGCATTGTTGCTGACGTGTACCTCGGGCACACCGAGAAAGAGCCCCCAGCTGCCGAGCACCGACCATCTGCTGCCAAGCCGCGATTGGTAGTCGGCACCTAGCACCACGAGAGTCAACTCAACATGTGTCTCAAGCTGGTCAGAACCACCTAGACACACGACTCGAACAAATCCGGGGAGCAGGGAGGGCTTGGGCAAACGATGAAGTTGTTGCCTTCCTGGGCGCAGTGGACAAAAGGCAGCTGGCAGTAGGCAGAAACATGCTGCCAATCAAGAAGCGATGATGCGGGCAAGTCACACAGCACATGGAAATGGTGCCGTCGGCATGCATGGCACTTCCATCACAGCTTTTGCCGGAACCGTCGTCCTTCTCCTTGTTAGTCTTACAGCAATAGGCGCCGTTGGTGTAGTACGCGTACTGGAATGTGTAGGGACACATTCCAGCTGCCACTCGCAGGTAGCAAGTCGTGCCCGTCAGAGCCGAAAGGCTCGTGAAAGAAGTCAGGAGAAGGCAGTTGTCACCACCGGCGGCAGCATAGTTGAACCCAACACAGGTCGAAGACGTCCAGCATTCTAGCTTGCATTGATCTTCCGTTGCGTCTGTCAGACCCGAGGAGGTCTCACCTGTGCTCTCACACTTCAGGTCTGCATGGCTGTCGAAGCCCACGGACGGAAAGGAGGTAACTGTTGTGGTGGTGATTGTCAACGTGGAAGTGGACACTGTCTCTGTGGTTGTTGTTAGAGTCGCGGTAGTACTCGTGCTCGTGCTGGTAGTGATGGTCGTTGTGACAGTGCTCCGCAAATTGACCTCGAAGCCACTCATTTCGAAAGAGCGGCTCGCATGTTCGTTTCCATCGGGGCTGTCTGTGAAGGTCAGCCCGGAGCCTCGAAGATTCAGCTCCAGTTTCATCGTCTCTGCCTTAGTCCAGGGGTCAGCTAGCCACACAGTACGTGGATGCTTGAAGTCTAGCCTACTAAGGCTAAGGTGAACTCAATTGACATCTCGTGCAAGCTGGAATTTCCCGGCTGAAAAGCGACCTTGATGGGGATGGTCCACTTCCAATACGAGCTCTGCTGGATCCAGTCGGCAGTTGCATTCTGGATGTCACCTGCATCGTGTCAGCTTGCAGCGTCAAAAAGCACAAGGACAACGAAGACAAAAGAGGTGGACGGGGCAGCGGCCTGACGTCCAGCTGCCAGAAGATAAGTCCGAAGTCCGAAAATACGCAGTGTACGTGTTGTCGCTGGTTGTGGTGTAGAGAGTAACCTTCGAATGCGGCAGGTACTCGTGTAATATGCTGTGAGCATTGTGAACCCTAAGGGACCGACTGTACTAATATGAGCGGTGGATGGCCCCAAAAGAAGCCCTTAAAGTGCAGCCTTTGCCGGCCCAGCAACGGAGTGAACGCGCAATTGCAGGCCCTCTCCTTCCCACAGCAGGTCTGGCTCTTGCACCTTGACGGAACTGGTGTAGGATCCATCGAAAACCTTCCAGTTCTCGCTGTCTGAACCGCTGTAGTAGTTCTTCACGCTCATGTGCACTTCGCTGGCACTGCTTGTCTGGTGCTGATAGTAGTCAATCTGACCCGTCGTGCTGGCAAACTGGGTTGGCGCATTTGCCGCCGTCGCCAGCACATCTGGGTACAAAGCAGTGTCAACGGATGGCGCTACAAAGTACGTCCCAGAAACATGTACCTCCCCAACATCACTTGTGCTGCTTGTTCCGTACTTGCCTGCAGTAAACACCAGATCACCAGAATTATAGCCTTTCGTAACGTAGGCATAATAGTCATCAGTTCCTTCCAGGCTCGTCACAGTATCAGCAGCAAAGTCCACTGAAGCAACCAGCACGTCGGTGTCCCGACTGACGAATGCAACGTAGTTTCCAGCATCGTCGTCGTACATCCAACCAGTGCCACTGGAGTACTTCACACAAACGAGGTGGTCCGCCATGTCTGATGGGAGAGAAGTTGGGCTGAAGCGTGATCGCACATCCTGTGCTGAGTACATGATGAAGCCATCCCCCGTGGCGCTGTCTGTACAAGGCACACCAGACCTTGTCAACCCAACTAGGTTCCGGTATCCTCCTAGGTAGCATACAGCGCTTGGCACATACGAGGTCTCTCCATATGCACTGGCAGCCAACTTGACTGCGGCTCGGACTGTGCAAGTGCCATCACTTGAGCACGTCACTGCCCTGCAGGCAGACTCGCCCAGCTCCTTACCTCAGCAGCACAAGCCGAGTCAGAAACATGAGCCAGAGCCAAAAATCTCTACTAGTGCGCTGAGCCATCGGTTTGCCGAAGGGAGTCGTACTATCATCTCAATCAATCTCAGGCACACTTCTCCTTAGCAGAGTGGAGGTCGAACGCATCGGTCACATCACCAGCATAACCACTGGAGTACAAGTCCGGGTACACCGACCATTGACACAAATCTGTCCTCATGCGACAACGAGATGCTGCAAGCAGATGGCAGCATCGCAGCTGAGTCCAATTCTTTGGCTTAAATTCTAGGAAGGCACATCATGAAGCAGTGTTGCGGCAAGTGTCGTTGTGGTTTGTGTTGTCGTGGTGCTGGAAGCGGTCAGGGTTGTCGACGTGACTGTGATCGACGTTTCGGTGGTTGTGGTGGAAGTTCCGATGTGCTGCGCGATGATGATGGCGTCGCTGGGTTCACTGACACCCTGCTTCAACCATAGCATGACCGTGTATGAAGCCGCGTTGAGGTTAAGGTCCGCCTGGTAGCCCATCTCGTAGGGCAGGCTGCCAGAAGGCACCGTCTCGTGGTATGACCACACTGGCACTGTGGCTGAGGTGACGTCGCAAACGAAGTCCTCAGCAGGCACTGGAAACGCGCATCTTCAGCCCTCAGCTTAACAAGCGGCGGCAGCGTTTGCTGTCAGGGCCAATTTCAGACAAGAGTCTATAGATTGAATCAAGATGATTGAATCAATCTCTTGGATCTGCAGAATGTCTCCTTCGGTGCCAGAACGCTTCCAGCTTCTAACCGAAGGCGACAGCCCAAGGCCACATGCCACATGCATGGCCGCGCCTGTGTTAAAAACCAGCTCGGCTTTCTGCGACACAGTGTTGGCAGCAGCACTGCCTTTTTCCTGGCCATTCATGAAAACCTTCACGGTTCCCGACGAATCACTTCCATACGTCAGCACCTCGGCGCTTGACAGCGATCCACTTCATTGAGGCGCTTGTACACATGCAAACAGATGCAAACATGTACAAACACGCACAAAACACGACCCCTCCCTCCGCTCTCACGCTATGCAGAGATCGCAGAGGCCCCCAAGTGCAGCACCACCGTACCGTGGCCTTGCAGTTGGAGGGACACCATCCCATCGCCCGAAGCAGAAGATCCACGGTACGCGCTGCTGTACGTCCCGCTGGCATCCCAGAGGCTGCTGTCATCCCAGCTGAAGACCCAACCGGCCTAGCGATAGATTGGGAAGACATGGGAAGACCATCGACAAGCTGCAAGGAAAATGACCTAGATGACGCACATCGAGGCAATATTCGAGGCAGCAACCTTCACCATATCCGCTTTGCTGGAAAATGTCTTCACAGAATCGGAGCCACCACACATCGAGTTGTACCTCAGGATGGGATGATTCCGGCATGATTCCGGCAATCCCTTCCCGTGATGAGCTACCGCAGCCACGCAACCAGCCCGCCGAACTGCCGGCCCGCCGGCGAGGAGTTGAGCAGCTGACGCGGCTGACGCGCCAAAGAAGAAGGAGCAATCCTATCAGAAGCCAGCAGATTCGTCACAGACTCGGATAATGGCACACACCTTGTTGCCTCATCATACCTACCCAAAACACGCAAACATCTGCAGGCATTCACACACCACCTGCCCGCCTAGTTTGTACAGCGCAGAGCGCATTGAAGCGCGGAAAATGGTCAGGGCCTCAGTGGCCGACTCGCCTGTGAATCTGATGTCCCAAGCTGGCAAAATGACAAGTATGGGTGGCTAGTTTGTGTCAATTTGGGTGGGTTAAGCCAAGAGGCCTGGAGCCGACCCAAGCGCTACCTCAAAGACATTTGGCGAGGCAGCCTGTGATCGCACAATTCGCACAGTGCCGGACTTGAACCGACATCGACAATCATGCCTAACAGATTTCCGGCATATTCCGGCCCAAGCAGCTGGTGAACTCATGTGAGCTCGACATTAGCCAGGACTCAAACTTCCTTTGGAATGCTTGAGCCATCTTGAGCCCATGGCTCCACAGCGGGAAAGATGCTTGCCAGGGCGCCTTTGTCCGATTGTGAGCGAGCACGTGCGCTGCGACCTTTCTGCCACTGACAGCCAAGGGTTTTTTCATTCCGTAGCGACTGTGGTGACGCGGTCGGCATTTGGGCATGGCCTCGTGCTCGAATCCTAGGAGATCTGGGTGTTGAGCAAGACGCGAAAACAAAGAGTGCAGGCTTCCAAGCCCTCCCGGCTGTGTACAGAAGGGAGCGTTGCCCTTTGTGAAACTGCAGAATGTAGAACATTTTGTGCAGAAGGCCGATTTCAAGCATCAGCTGGGCACGGTCTCTGGCGGAGCTGCCACGCTCCCTGGCACAGGCACAGCGCCAGGCATGGCTCCAGGATCTCCAGGCGCTCCAGGCGCTCCAGGCGCTTCGGGCGGCGGCACAGAAGTCGCTGACGGCGCCGGTGACATCGCGGGCGAGTTCTCGGCGCCCGCCGCTGCTGCTGCAGCTGCGGCCGAAGCGGCTGCTGCTGCGGCCGCCTGTGCGTAGGCTTTCTCCTGAGCATCCATCGATTGCCCCCAGCATGCTCAGCAAATGCCCAGAGCAGTCACGGCACTGCCCTTTCAGCAGCGAGCGGGCGAGACCTTGGAGTATTTCCTAGTGCACGTTGCGCACACGTCACGATGTGTCAGTTCAGTTCGCTTCGTCACACAAAGCATCGCACAGGGACGACATTCTGTTCTGTATCGTCTGCGCCAGGCTCTGGTACCTTTTCACACAGAGCTCCCGCAGCGGAGAGCAGTTCAGCTGTTCAACCCACCAGAACTTGCTGTATAACCCTGTGCCGCGCACTTCTCGCGAGTGCTGTCACACAGGTTCTTATCAGAAAGCCGCTGCAGGATGACCTAAGGCGTCAGGCATGTCACTCTCAGCACTTGGAAGCAGATCTTTGCGCCAGCCTGCAGCTCTTTGGTCATCTCCGCCAGAAGCTCCATCTTCTTCTGGTATGCTTCCTGCCAACCACAAACAACTCAGCATGAAGTCGAAACAAAACGGAGAACCAGACTCGGAGCAACAGGAGGGTGTCTTGCCTCAGCCTTTTTCTCGGCCGCCGAAACTGGCCGGGATTTCACAACACAATCGCCCCTTTTTGCGTTTTGGTGGCTCTGTCTCGACAAGTCGCAACTCTTCTGCATCTTGGCCAACCATGCCCCACCTCTTTCGCAATCTATCACCTCTGGCGGTGGTCCTGGCACAAACGCTTTTGGTCAATGTAGCTACTAATGTCGGCCAGACTGCGAGACTTTCCAGGCCAGCCGGGTTTGCGGTGAGTCGCATCAGCTGGGTGATGTCCGCTGTTCGGCCTTGCTGAGGCACGGCACACCACCGAGCATTGAATCAAGCAAGCACGAGCTGCTAAGGCCCAGCTGCAAGATCAAGCGGCTTGTTATGACGACGAGGCCCCTGTCTTGGGGGCGCTCTCCCACCTCCAGGAGGTGTGCGCAAGTGGGCGCGTGCAGCACAACACAACATGCCCCATGGGTCAGCAGAACGAAGATGACCTTGGCTGATTCCTCCAACGAGGTCGTCACAGCATTGGGCCTCACCACGCGCACAGCTTTGCAACATGTCTGCTCTCCGCAAATCTCTTGGCTGCGGCACTGGCCTGAGCATTGCATGGCTACGAGGTGGCAGTGGCCTCATGCAGCAAAAACATGCTCTGCGACATCACGGCCTTGCCTGTGCCGTGCATTGGATGCCAGGGGCCGCTCGTAAACTGCCCCGGCGGCCTGTCAGGCGGCACCTGACATTGCGATGAGGTCTCGGACCGTCTAGGAGCCTAGGAGGTGCTCAGAGGCGCATGGAAGCCCGGTGGACTGCTGTGAAGTGCTGTGAAGACTCCTTGCCTGTGCCTTCGCAACCGGGCTCGGGGGTGGCGGCCGCCTTGCCAGGATTCCGGCCTTTCAGAGCACTCAGCGGAGCACTGAGCACTGAGCGTAGCAGAGAGCTCCGCGGACATGAAAAGAGATCCGGTTGTGGATGCGGCCTTCTCTTTCTGCAGCCATGCCACGAATGGCTGAGCCTGCGAGGCTGCTAAGACTTTACTGGCCCAACTGTCGCGCGCATCGCGCACCTCGTCATCCATCACAGACAACTCTTCTAGCATCTCAGGGCTAGATTTCCGCCTCAGCATCAACGGCAACAATTTTGGATTTGCTATTCATGTCGTCTCCGCCGGCAGCAGTAGTTGGGATCAACATTTCCATGGTTCGAAGGCCCCAGTGCGGCCATTTTTCATGTCCCTCTGAAGTTGGCGAGGGTTCCGACATTTGTCAACCCACCGTAACAATGCTTTGCTGCTAAGCGTTGCGAGCTTCTACTTTGACATGTTTCAGCATGCTTGGGAGCCCTGCACAGGCCCTGCACCAATCACTGCTCGAATCAGGGACACTCAAAAAACAAAAACGAAAGCGCTGACAAGATCTGATAAACACCGCACCATACTGAAAGGCTGCCACCTGTCGAGAAGTACGCAGACAAACTCGGCCTTTACACCAACGAGGCGGTCACTCGCAGTGGCCTATCTGCATGTTGAAGATCACACAACTTGACACTGTAGGCCCTTTGCCAAAATGTCTGGCTCGTCATCGTCTGCTTGCACAATCTTCCTGCACAGTAACTTGACACCGACACTGCAGAAACGCGTGGCGGCCTGCGGCTTAGCGATGTTATAGGTTTGCATGTTCTGGCTAGGACTCACTGCGCATGTCCTGACGTGACTCACCACACTTTCCTTCAGCTCTTTCTGCTCGCTCCTGTCATGTCCCAAAGTCAGCCGGCATCAGTAGCGACATCAGCGCGAAAACTCGTACCCAACTGTTTTATCTCTCTGCATCGGCTGATTCTTCGCAGGTGTTCTGGGCAGTCTTTGGCCCCTCACAGGTATCTTGGCTCTGGCGCTGAATCTGAAGCAAGTGGTAGCCACTCCAGCTCAGCCTTGCTGAGGAGCAAACATGGCGACGCACTTTCGAAGCAAAGGCCTAAGCCTGACATATAGTGACATAGCATCTCTACCTCCGAGTAGGCTTGCATCCCCAGCTTGCACTGCTAGAAGCACCAACGTGTACACTGCATCTGTTCTGAGATGCAGACAAGATCTTCCGAACTTCCGCAAAGTCGATCCAGGCACTCGGGCGCTGACCGCGGCGTGAAGTGAGGATCTGCCTCCGCAGGGTCTCCTGCGAGGCGACCCACGGTACAACTGGTAGGAGACACTTTTCCCATGTATGGAGGTATGTCGGAAAAAATGCTTCTCCACATGTAGCAGCATCTTAACTCGGGTGCACCTCGGCACTCAGATCACCCTGCTCCGTCCACTCTCGCCACGCAAAGATCAGTGCGTAGTGGTTGGTGAGGTGGAAGAGAAGGACCTGCAGTCTGCCATGCTGCTAACATGTCAACAAGTCCTGAAACGAAACTAACTTCATAAAGCGATACCCGACATTACCCGACCAAGGAGAACATGGACAACACCAATTCCCGGTAAGCCCAGACACGCTCCCAGGGTCCGCAAATGCCTGCTTCAGACAGGTCCATTGCTTGCGAATTTCCTGCTCCCCATCTCCTTTCGTGATCAAGGCCACGATATTCTTGAAACTCTGTCTGCGGCCAAGCAGGCATGTCACCTTCAGCGACTCCTTACGCAGCAGCTCTTACAACGTACATCAACGGAGCATCGTATGCTTGTTGAGGTTTGCTACACCTTCACCGCTTTCCGCATTGCCATGTCACATTCATGATGCCAGGAGGCATTGTTGCGGTTGGTACCCAGCTGTTCAGCAGCTTGCTTCAGATTGCCGCTGCCAACTTCAGACGTGTTGGGGCGCTCTGCCCGAAGCCTGCTGGGTTTGGCCATCACCAGATGTGAACACCACGCACGACGCAAGCTCAGCACGTGGCATGCTATGACATGCTCTGCATACGGCGTGCCGCGCCTGAAAACAGCTTTGCGAGCCGCAAACAGCTCCGACAGCTCCTTCCTCAAAGCCGCATTACTTCTCTGATTACAAACCCGGAATGCAAGAACACTTGGAACACCGTCAATGGTCAGCACGCGTTGCACCGGTTTCAGCGAGCATCTTCCACTTGACAGTCCGGTCATCGATTGGCTCGCAGACCTGATCCAGACAACTTTAGAAGCCGGGAAGTGGGCGAGGCACGAGGGATATGAGCCACCTTCTCGTCATCTTCGTCCTCCTCTTGGGAACTGCAAAGGACCTCGCGCAGAGCGGCGAAAACATCGGTCACCAGGCCACCCGGCTTCCAGGTCGCCTAGCATCTTGATCCACTTTTTGCCCACACAGGTCGTGTGTGCTCATGGACACCTACGATTCTCGCTGCCGAGCTGCTCCGGCTTCCTCCACGCATGGATCTGCCTCGGCGTGTGCCTCAAGTCTGGGAGAAGCATCGGCCAGCAGTTCTCCTGCTCCTGGACATAGCAAGCCAGGCATGCTTGAAGACCCTGGGCCACAATGCTCTTTAGAGACACGGCATCCCACCTGCAGCGCACGCAGGCTCACCACCATCGTGCAGCTGCTGTGTGACATCTTCGGGCGCTGGCTCCGTTGAAGGTTTCTCGATGCTCATGTCCCCGCGAGATGCTAGCAGCTCGCCTTCGGACTACGCGCCAACCACCGTGAGAGCGAAAATTGCAGTGATGATGTTGACACAATTGTCGACACATCGCTGCCAAGCAACGAGTGGCAAGGTGTGCAGCAGCCTTGGTCACAGCCAAAGGCCCCTTGCCGGTCCAGGACAAGCCTTTCTCAGCCAAGAGCTCGTCCAAGACCGTGTAGTATTCTTCCAGAGCCCCGTCTGCCACACCCAAGAGTCGCTCCTAAAGCTAAGGTGCTAAGGCGCACACAATTCTAGCACACGTGTGCAGGAGACAATCCAAACGGGCACTACTTGTCTACCCGGTTCCACCCTTTTCTACCCGACGTAGGACACTCAAAGACTCAAACAGGCCAGGATCTATGCGTCGTTGCTGCCGGGCTTGCGCCAGTTGCTTGTTCTCTGCCAAGATGTCCGCCACCTCGCGCACCGTACCTGGGAAAGTAACGGGATGCAATGTCCCAAATCTTGTGCAATGAAGCGCAAGGCGGGCGTAGAGAGGCGGACGAAAGTGAACTGGCGGCGAGCCGCAAGCATCGTCGGCTTCACGGCCCAGGCGCCAAAGCGAGTTGTAGGCACCGGCCACGGAAGCAGCAGCACAACAAGGAGAGGGCTGAGGAACCCAGCTTTCCTGCAAAAGATAGACTTCATTCAGCACGAAAGCATCGTTCAGCAATGAATTTCACACCCCCTTTGTAGACTCGAACATACTACTGAAACCTGGAACACATCCGCCGAGGCCGCAGGCCTACGGCGCTTTCGAATGGACCCCCGACATCAAGAGCCAAGCTCCAATTCCCTTCGCCTCCGCCGCTTGCAGGACTTTCTTGGGACCCGCTCTGGGCTCCCACTCACCCTTATGGGCTGTCATTAAATGACCCTGCCAGGCCAGACCGAGGCGGCCCGCGCTGGCGCGAATGTCAGAAGTCATGTACACCTATTACACCTGCTTCTCGAAAAAGAGTTGTGCTTCCACTGCATCGGCGAGCCAGTCTAAACCGGTGCAGGGCCTCAACAAGTTCTTGCTGGCTCTACTGGTTTCTACGCAGCAGTGTCTTGCAAGCTTCAGCTGTTGCAAAGCGCTCCAGGACGTCGCGATTAAAGCCGCCGCCCCATGCACGTCCTGGGCTTTTGGTCCACACAGGACCAGAGGTTCACCACAGGAGATTGAAGAGACTGTCCTCACTTCACATGCCAAGCATCTTTTCGAAAGGTCCCTCCCTGGCCCAGCAGAGGTTGGCAAGCGCTCGTCGACCAGAAGGCGCAGCGCATCCACCTGAGAAGCAGGGGCCCGAGAAACATCCTAGTGAATCCGAGTAAACACTTGGAAAGCCCTGCTGTTGCAGCACATGCCTGCAGCAGGCTTCCATCAGCGTCGTGCTCCTCGGTCTCCGGCGTTGCCGGTGCTTCCGGCGTTGCTGGCGCATCGGGTGGCGGAGGCGGAGTCACCAGAGGTGTCTCGGCCTTTGCAAGGGCGTCTCCACCACAGGAGGTCTTTTCAGCGTCCACCCTGCCCTGAGGGTCAGCGATGTCAATGTCCGTGACTGTGACTTCTGGAGCTTTCACCACTTGCGCATGCTCGGCCTTCTCCAGGTGCGCTCGGATGCTTGCCAGTGCATCTGAAGGCTGCTCCCGACCCAGCTCTACAAGGATCTCTGTCAACAGAGTGCGCACTCCATTCCTTTCGAAGTAAGCCTCCGCAGCCTTGAAAGCATCCTCTGCCACAAGGCTTCCCATTGATCGAATCAAGGCTACAGAAGCTACATGGCAGCAACTCAAGCGGACAGAGTTAATGTAATCGTGTTGGGAAGAGCTGGTCACCTGCACCACATGTTGTTTAAGAACATGTCTGCTGCACGCTTGGCCCATATGTTCACATCAAGTCCATAACCATGGCAGGACACACGCAGCGCACATGCTCACGCATTGTCGAACCGGGAACGCCAGCTTTATACTCCCAGTGCCCGCACCATCTTCTTGCGTGCAATGTTGCAAGCGCAACTCCGACAGCATATTAGAGCAGATCCAAGCCACCATCGGAAACTTTGCCCGCTTGGACTTTGACAGTGGCCCACGACACGGATCATGGGAACTACAATAGCCAGCCTGGAGCATATACAAAGCACTCACATCATCTCGTCTGCGCTATGCGCAAAGGTGCACCACAAGCCTAGCAGGGAACCGTCACAAGGATTCAGATGAATACTACACCCACTTGGCAATAGCCCCTCTGCCTTTAAAGCAGCCCTTGCCACCATTGATATTCTTGCACATCACCTCCGAGCGGCGCTTGCCCAAAGAAAGTGCATCAAGCGCTGCAGCAATCTGCAAGACCCTCCCAAAACATTGGAAAACAAAGCTTAGAAAAGGCGAAGCACACGAGGTTTGAAGCCGCTGTGCAAGAAGCGACTGATCCCACAGGAGTCAACGGCATTCGGATGCCTCGGGTCGCTCCAGGCTGCCAGAAATCGGGCGAGAAACTGATTTGATCACTTCTTGTTGCGCCTTGGTCCTGCCTGTTTTGTCGAGGGCTTCCCTTTAAAACACAGAGGAAATATAGAAGTTTTTCCTGTCAAACTACAGAAGAAGTAGACTGAAATAAAGAGGACAAATTTGACAGAGGCAATAAACAGTTTCCTATGGAGAAGAGAAAGGTTTCCTATTCAACTCTACAAAACCAAAAAAAGCGAACAATAAAATAGGGGGCGCCAGAAAAAGCCCCTGCCCCGCCCCCAGAGTCAGCTCCTGCTAGTTCAGCACCGGCGCAACTCCAGCACACCATGCGCAAAGCTGCAGGCATCGCCCTTGGCGCATGCGCTCGGGTCCTTCAACCAGAAGTTGCAGATCTTGGTGGGCATGAAGCCCGAGTCCCCGAAACGGGACCTTACATTCAGATTCATGCAACAGCAACATGGTGAAGAGATTCGCCGCGACGACTTGGCGCGAACTTGCATTAATGGTAGAGAGTCGGTGCTGAGACGCTGAAATTGCGCCAAGGGGCATTGTGCCGCTCATGCCCTGTGGCATTGTGGGGGATGTCTGGGCTGCGTAGCTGTAGCCATTGTTGCCTTTGCCCTTTCCGGGTGCGCCGGTGTAAACTGCCACAGCCTGGGCTTTGCCTTTGCCAGCCATACCCTGACTGCCCTTCGCGGCGTCTTTGCCCTTTCCAGCCATCCCAGCCATCCCAGAACTCTTGCCCTTGCCCAGGTCACTGGCTGCCTTCGTGCCCAGCAAGCCTGGCATTCGAGAAGCAGAAGACTTCTGAGGCTCTTGGGCCTCTGGAGCTCAGTTGTGTTCAGCGTCTTTGAAGCCGCAAAAGACGCTTCTCCCCCCAGGGCCTGCGACCGCGAGGCCCTCGAGAGCTATCTGCATGTCCACCGACATTTCGGCCAAACCTGCTTTGACCAAGGGTGACCAATGTGACATCATGGCAGACGAAAGTGACTCTGGCTCGACGAATGTTCAAACCGGATGGTTTGCTCCGGGCAGCCGTGTGCAAAGGTGCACATATCACCGTGGGTGCAGAAGGACGGGTGCTGGATCCACTTTTTGCAAAGCGCGTACGGGCGGAAGTCGCCCTCGAACATGCGAGGTTGCTGTGTGGAGCCTTGCGCAGGACAATGATTGTAGCTGCAGATTACAGCGCAAACTCACCGACAACTTTGCTTGCGTGTCTGCTCTGACACACACACTGATGCACGGAATCACAGGCACTTCCTGGAGACAGAGACACAGAGACAGAGACTGAGATTGGATCGCACACAAATTCTCCCCCGACTCACCCGACCACATGCTCTCGTGCATGTTTTGCCCCGCCTAGCGAATCAAGAACTTCCTGTGACGGCTCTGGAGAAATTAGGCGCGGCTCTTCTTGCCCGGCAGCTCCCTGATCCGCAAAACCTGGCTCTGGGAATGCCGCGTGTGGGACCTTAGAGCGGATCTGGATCAGCTGCTTGAAGCGTGAATCGCACGGGGCAGAGTAGCGAAGCTCAACATCAACATCGGTCGTCACATGTGGTGAATGGGCTCATGCCCTCTTCCTATGGACCTTGCCGAGGCTTGGCTTTAGAAGCTCCGCTGGCCCATTCAGGATGCAAAAAATCGCCCAAGCGGCTTTCATCTCCTCCCCTATGAGCATGGCCTCGATCTCCTGGAGCCCGGGATCTGCCTGGCCTGCGGGCCACGGCTCTTCAGGAGCACTTTGGTCAAACCACACCCCCAAGTACAGAGACGCTACGCATCGCTACGCACCACAGAAACCTGGGGTCCCGGGGTGTGTAAGCTTCTTTAAGCTTATTTCAACCATTCTTTGTGCAAAAGCCGAGGAGGGCCTTGCTGAGCCTCCGGGGCCAGCTCCTCCGCACTGTGCGCGAAAGTGCAGGCATCGCCCTTTTGGCAGTAGCCACCACTCTGCATGTAAGAACCTGGGTTGCGACATGTTGCGACATGTTGTGACAGTTACGTTATGACGAAATGCCCAAGCCAGACTCCATCATGCCCCATTCGGATCGAGCTTCACATCTTGCGTGGCACGAATCCGGGAGGAAACCGGCTCCCCTTGGCCCAAGCATGTGTAACACGAAAGAAGTCCCACAAGCTTCTTCCCAGCCTTGCCCGCAACCATCTGAGGCATCTCCCATTGTCGCTTCATGGCTGGCAGCTATGGCGGCCGGGCCGATGACTCGAGGGCGTGTCGCCACCGCGTCCCTATCAAGTTGGTGGCCTTAAAACCTTAAAACAGGTTAGGAGTTACAACCGAGATGAAGCGAGCGTTCTTGAAGCTGACTGCGGGCTTGCTGGGCTCTCATGTTGCGGGGCTCTCGTGGGCTCAATCCTTCCACTGTGGTTCGCGTTCAACTTCTGAAGCGGCTGCTAACAGACTCCTCGTGCGGGAACTTGCAGAATCAATGTCTAAACCAAAATGGGCTGCTCTTGGAATGTGAGGCGCATCGAGTCAAACAAAAACCAGGCACCAGAAGCAAAACCGATCAACACCCGCAGCAGCCACTCAGTCAGCTCAATGCTGAGAACGTCCGCAGCCTGGAGAAGACGGAGAAGCACCACAAGTTCTTCTGAAAGACCGTCCGAGGTCGAAACAAGCAAGCCGGGTGGAGGCGCTGGGGCGGACTTGGCGGCCGTGCGCCGTTGTGGCGGAGCAACTGCGGCCATCTTTTTGTTGCAACGTTCAACGTTGCTCTCTTCAATTTGGGGCAAGCCATTGCTTGGCTGCTAAGGGTGGTGAAGCCTCGCCGTGGAGCCGCCTCCTGCGAAGCTTAACGTGAACACAGAAGAAGTCTCAGTGACACGCACACCACATGTCCTGGGAGTCAGTCAAGGCCGACCGGCGGCGTTTGCGCACCCTGACAGCACGGCAATGGTGCATGGTGCAGACTTGCACCCATACTCTGCCAGAGTCGCTTCGCTCACCACGTGTCCCCGCACCCCGCCTGCCCTCTGGCTTCGACAGTTTCGAAACCTTCGGAGCTACAGATCCTGGCAGGGGCACCTCTGCTGCCGCCTGTCAACACGAATCAGGACACATGGGGCACCTGTGGCAAGAATCTAAACGCAACATGGCAGCGCCCTTTGTCTCAGCCGCGCAGCCAGGGAAGCATGTTGGGTCGCTGACATGAAATAGATGCTGGCAAAGCATCTTTGACGCCAAAAGTATATGGAGCCTGTCTGCTCCAGGTCCAGTCACAAGCTTGAACTGATCTACTGTTTTTTTTCACACGACGCACGGGGTTGCAGCAGCCACCACATTTCCACAAGCAAGAGTGTGCAAGTGCTGCAGCATACCGAGTCGAATCATCTGCTTTGGCAAGAGTTGCCACAACCCAACGCTTTAAGCCGAGGCTATTGAAACTGCCGGTCACAGTCGCAACGTGATCCATAAGGTACAGGCCGAACCGTGTTGGGAAATCGCAACCTTGGCTTTCCCTCAACATTCCATGACCAACTTCCACTTGGGCCATCATTGGCCCCATTGGGTACGAAGTATGGGAGCTGATGTATCGAAATTGGGACATGACGTGCACAGCGACATCCTTATCGGATGTCGAGAACAACTCATGTCAGAAACAGGGGTGTAGTTGTTCGACGTTCTTGAGTTTGCTGTGAGGCCACAATCTTCTGCTTACCTGCATTCGGTGCTGAGAGTATGAGTATGGTTGACGCGCGCGTGCATCATTCCCCCTGCCGAAACATGCCGTAACTGTAGCTGAGAGGATGACTACGCCGGCTCGGCTGGTGGAGCCTTCTGCCAAGCATCCACCTGCGCCGTGTCCAGCATTGCACCAGTCAACACAAGCACAACCGTCACAACAGCACAGCTTAGAAGAAAGTAACAATGAGTGCAACAAACTCGCAGTTGCTTTCATGACTCTTTCTTGGTGGGATTTTGGCCATCCTCTTTCCCATGCTTACAAGCATTCTTACAACACACATTGCCTCGATCGCTTGGCCATTGATCGTCTGGCCGGGCAGGGACTGCATCGCAGCAGCCACCTACCAACAAGCCACTCGACATGGGGCCACAGACCGCGCAGATGTAGTCAAGAAAAGGAAAGTTCGAACAACTCTCACAAGACAAGAGCGTTCATTCAACAGCAGACTCTGGCGAAGCCCTGTAGGCAGGACACTTGCATACAAGTACTGCCCCCTTGCAAGTTGGAGACAGAAAACCCTTTTGCGGGTGATACAAGTACAGGATTCATCATCTTTCCTATATTACACTACAAGCACCATGCGCACCATGCGTGTTCTTCTTACTCCCTTTGAGCTGCTCCTCTTCCGCCGTCTTGTAGGCGATCATGCCGGTGCCCTTGCCTGTTCTTTGTTGGGGCATGATAGGCAGGAACACCGTTGGAACAGCATGGCATGGCCCATGAAGAATGAAGCTAATGACCTTGTGCACCGCACCGCGCCTTTGCCGCGAAACACCTCCACCCAGCGGGTGGCGCCGGCCGTGTTTCCCAGTGTCTGCAGATCTTTCCAGGTTGCGTCCTCCGGGAGGTTGCCGATCCAGATCCTGCAGGCGCTGACATGCTGAGTTGCTGTACTGACGTTGGGCTCTTCATGGCTCTTCGACAACGATGGAAAGGTCTGCTCTCAAGCTCTGGCTCGCTCTTACGCATCCGAGCCCCAAGCTTCATCTCGGGCTCAATCCTCACGTCAGCATGTGAGACCGTTATGCTATGATGGCCCTTCCATTGGTTTCCCAAGCAGGCACCAAGCATCCTCACACCCCAACAAGAGCCGTCAAGGTTCCGAGGACCACGGCGGCGGCCAAAACCCTTGCCCTTGCCGAAGCCCTTGGGAAACCACATCATCGGAGGCGCCCAGCCCCACCCCCATCCTTTGCCATTGCCTCAGGCGCAATGCTTTGAGCTACAGCACGCTGACTTACCAGAACGTGCGCACTCCCACAACAGAGCGCCAGCCCCGCCTCCATAACCCATAACTGCAGCGCTTTGTAAGGCTTGCTGCGCTGCTATGTAGCACCACACTTGAGAACTGCAGCTGGACAACACAGATAGTGACACGGCATGATCCAAACATGATCCAACATGTCACCAAAGCGGAATCTGCAATATTGGAAGTGTTGGAAGCGTCTACAATGTCGGCAGGGGGACCTGGGCCTTGAGCGGACTGTGCGGCGGGCTCGGCTGCGGAGGCGGCTGAGGTGGCTGAGGCGGTTCCGCAGGTGCCTCAGGCAGCGTTGGCAGCGGCTTCGCCGGCGGCGGCTTCGCCGGCGATGCTGGCGCGGCGGGTGCAGAAGGCACTTTGGCCACCCGCCGTCGCACCTGAAAAAGCGCACTCAGGACTCTCACGTTCGCCGTGCTCTGAGTTCAGGCTGGGCGGCTTTCTTTTTGCCACGCTTCGTTGCCTCAGAGGCTCAGAGGATTGCGGAAGCTTGAATCAGACTGGTTGCAGTCGCAATCTGAAGCTGAGCATCCACAGCAGCAACTGTGTTTTCCCGAAGTCTTTCAGATAGACGCACATGCCACTGAGCTTTGGTGGCTCGGTGAGGCTCAAGAGCCCTACCATGCAGCGCATGCATCACTTCGCATTCGCCAGCTTCCACGGCACGAAGCTGCCCAGAACTCACCATTGAAAGCCCATACACTTCCTATACAGAAGGGCTTGAAAAGCGTGCCAAGCTTTGCATATGCTAGCTGCCGGCACTATCAACTAGAGTCACTTTAGACATCGTGCAGGTGAAAATTGAAACGAAATATGTTTTAAGCACCTGGCTAAGGTGCGGAAGTTGCTGGAGGGTCAGTGTCGACTGTGCAGTGCGCGTCTGGCACCTTGTTTGCTGTCTCTGCTGGCACATGGCCGATTTTCCCCAGCAGCTTTGGGTAGGAGTGGCCGGCCAGCCCCAACAGGATCTCCCTAGCTTTGCACATGCCCCCAGCATCGCAGAGGCACTCCTTGCAGCGCTGCGCCTTCTGCCTGAAATGTGGCTCCCAGAGTACTCGAAGCAATGCAGCCGACACTTCAGCACGGTAGCTGGCGATGGCAGCCGCTTCCTCACCATGCACGGGATGAGGCCGCTGCATCTGAAGTCCTACACCCATCGCCTCAGCCTTCATGGCATTCACGACCTGATCGCCGAATCCAGGGCAAACCACCACGGGCACTCCAGCGGACAACGACTCCATGAAGCTGTTTTGGCCACCTTCGAGGGGGTGCCATTAAGGGTTTGTAGAGGCTGCTGTGGGTGGGAGAAACTTTAAAGGGTTCAGAGCGGGGGAACGTTTCCTTTCTAGCAGCTTCAGCACCGTGGGTCAGGAACATGTCGACGCTGGCTTTCAGAAGTGGAACTTGTGGCAGGACAGGCAGACACAGTGCATTGTTGGGAATGTCTATGTCGGTCAATGCATCCGGTTGCCGACCGACTGCAACTAACAGCAGCGGGGCATCTTCCGACTCTTCGGATCCACCAAAGGCATCGAAAACAGCGCTCCAGGCTGCCTGGCAAAGCTGCTTGCCCGTGAGCCCTCGGGGTTGTTCGGAGCCATCCCGCGGCACGGCATTCCAGCCCAGTTCTTCCATATCCGAGACCAGGATGGTCCCCATGCTGGCCAGCACCACCTTCCTGCCCGCCTGGCGGGCCTCATGGGCGACCGCCAAGACTCTCAGCGCCTCCTCGGCCAGTCCCGGCACTTCGCTTTCCAAGAGAGGGCCGACGTACTCAAACTTGGCACCTGCCTCGGAGTATGCCTGGGAAAGCTCGGCGGGAAAATCATCCTGAAAGTCTTCAATTGTCGTTATCAAATTAACGTTCGCGTCGCACATCGTGCTTAAGAAGCCCATTGGAGACAGAGCCGTTCTGAAATCGAAGGATATGTCGTAGTTCTTCTGAAGCCTGCAAATGCTGTCCTTCATCGGCTGACATGCATCGATTTGGTGATATACCTCTTCGAGGGGTATCCCAGATTGATGGAGGAACATCTTCACGACACCAACCATGCCACCAGGACCTGCAAAGGTCCACAAGCCAACAGCTGGTATCTGGAGGTACTTGGCTGCGTAAACTGCCTCTGGGTTCCTTAGCACATTGATCCACATCATTCAACGCAACTCGGCTCTACGACACAAGGAACAAGCACGCATAACACGACCTATCTGCTGCCTCGTGACATCATTGGACAGAACAGCACCACGTCCGGCCGCAATCGCTGCATCCAGCGAATGGTGCCTGGCAGTTGGAGCTCCAGGTGGAGCGGCGATGTTGCGCAGAGACCAACCATCATTGGGGCCTCGACATCTCTCTGTCTGGGCTGTCTGGGCTTCAAGGCATTTCAGAAGGGAACGGTCGAACCGGTGTCCATGCAGGACGAGCAGCATCTTCCAGCCCGTGCTCCTTCGCAACGGCCCGAAAAGCACCAAAGATATCCTGCAAAAGCAACAGAAGGTGAAGCGCCAACCCACTACACCTCGTAGAACATGCTACTTCCATCGAGCCCGCGCTAAATCACATGCCTGGCCTGCTCGCGGTTCTCGTAAAGCTCCACTTGCTCCTAGCTAGAAAGCAACACGACAGCCAGGGAATCCAATGCCTCGAAACTAGCTTGACGACGGTTCTAAGGTCTCCAGCTACCAGTGGCGCCTCGGCAACATCCGTAAAGCTTGCGCCCGTTTTCTCGATAGCCGGCCTGACCGACTCCTGAGCACCCGGACAGCATATTCGGACCGCAACCTTGCCCCAAAAGACAACATTACTGCATCCTCTCTCTTGGAACACGACTGCACATGCCGCATGCACAGAATGCTCCAAGAACCAGGCCCGGGAGAGGTAGTGTACTTGATGTCCCAGCTTGATCAAGGAGCGGGCAAGGGGCAGAGAAGGATTCAGATGCCCTTCTGCCATCCTGGCTTTGGCTGTGTGCGCTTGATAAATGATCGAAATTGAAAGACCGAAACCCCCAACATAACTGCAACTGCAACTTGACCAGAGCATGGACGTTGCCGCCGAGCTGCGGCAAGACAAAGGCGAACCGCAGAGACACAGCATCCATTTTGAAAACGCCACAATGTTGCTACCGTTGCTACTCACGACTCTAACCGCGAGCTCTTGATTGGAACTGACGTGACACGGACGTGGCAGATTCATGCAGATGCTAGTGTCACAGTCAGCCAGTGCATCTTGGGCAGCTGGCTTGGCCGGAACTTTTCATCGTCCTGCATGTACAACTGAATACCGTCTGCCCGACATAAGTTGTCCTAGTGGCGTGTGATCTGATGACATCTGACACCAGCGTTGCAAACACACGCAAGCGAAAGGCCCACCTGTGCGCCCCCTGTGGAACCTCCGAAACTGCTGAAATGGCGGCAAGGAGAAGCATAACCCAACTGACGAGCCTCTGAGGCGCGGGTTGATTTGCTCGGACCATCGGGGTCCTGGCGTGACAGATGAGCTGCACTGCTGCCCGTGGCCCAATGTGAACTGAGACTGACCGCATCGAGCACGGAGGAGCCCACAGACCTAAGCGAAATTCACCGTGGCCTGCTTCATGGGCCGAAGTGCTTCTGTGACTTCTGTGCGCTCAGGCACTGGCACGGGCGACGTGGATCTGTCAGGCACAGTACCTGACAAAGTTTTGCTCTTGCGCGGCAGCGACACAGGAACAACAAAGCGCTCTTGAGAAGGCGAGCCGTCTTTTCACATCTGGTGACTCTGCTCCGTAATCGATACCCTTTCTTGCGTTGACATTCAGAGCCGTCTTTGCACATCTTGTGACTCTGTTCCATCATCGATATCCTGTCTTGTGCTGGCATTGATGTCACCAGGGCAACATGAGAATCCTCGTGTAAGGTGTCTTTCCAGCTGGCCCACGTGCGCCGGCTGAGTTCCCTGCAGTTGCCACATAGTTGCTTCACGTATCGGCCAGTTGGTGCACTTGGCACACAATGCGGCGACGCTGCAGCACGAGGAACTGTAGTCTTCAGGCTGACAGCACATTCTCGCGTTCTCCAAGGTCATCATATGTCATAGCCCTAGACTGTCGTAGTCCTAGTCCATATGCCGTGAATCCTCATCAGGTACTCCTCAAGCCATGCCTTCCAAGAGGTCCCCAGCTTGTAAGCCAGCTTTGTCCATCCTTGCGCACACTGCAAGCACAAGTACCACAAGGATGACCATCACAAGGCCACCTGTTAGAACCCCCACTCTGACCACACAAAGCTCTCACTTGAGGCCCAGCTGCTCCCTCCTCACTTTCATACCGCAGGCTGCGAGCAGCTGCAAAGCTTGCTGCGGATGCGAAGATGAAAGGCATTTACGTAAGAGCTGGGACTTGTTCTCACGCATCTCCTGGCCCAATCCTCGGTTCCAGAGCACCCCGTGCAAAGGCCGGCATATTCGACTTGAGATCTACGCTGATTACAGCTGTGCATGGCTTCGCCGGTAGCAACTCTACGCTCCGCGAAAACAAGCCGTGAACATCAGCCAAGGGCTCCGACCACCAGCGGGTTGATGATCCCCCACGTCTGTCTGGGAATCCTTTTCTCCAGCTCACGGCGGGTTTGATGCGGAGTCTTGGTCGGCGAGCTCGTCCAGCCCAATGCATTGGCGATTCTGTGAACATGAGTGTCGACTGCTATGCCCTCCACCTGAACCAAAAAAAGGTATAGGCATCAGAGCACCCAACAAGCTTGAACGGCGTTTCTTTCAACATCTTTCAGCTCAAGGCCTTGCCCATGGCCACTTGCAAGTACAACAGGGCGGTTTTCTCACCGACACCTGCCGGCAGGTTGAGATCCAAAAGGCTTTGACTGACTTAAGCCGTCGTCCTTCAACACTCAGACGCAACGGGGGCGCACTCAACTTTGGGCCGAATATACCCCGACGTTATTTGGGGGGGCACCTGGAAGCTTCAAGAGCTCGGGGAGGTGGTCCGGCACGCGACCAGCATACCGCTCCAACAGCAGCTGCGACGTTCTTTTGAGGAAGCCGGCCTTGCGGCGGTGGTAGTTCACCTGGTGTGGGGGCAACCACAGCCACACCTCGGCCACACCTCCGCCTTACCGCAACTTGGGCCACCTTCCTCACAAGCTTGAGGAGCTGCTGGTCGGGCGTTTCCAGGATAGCTCGTGCACTGAGCCCATGTGCACGGAGGTCCTGCACCGTCTGGTACGTCACACTGTCCTGCCAATTTCACTGCACGCTGCCTCGTCATGCGTTGTACAATGTACAATGCTGTAACCAATGTTTAGCCTTCGTTTGTGCGGAGAGCATTACCGCCACCAGGACCTCAAAGTTGTAGTCATTGTGGTCCTACCATATGGCTCAATCCAGGGCTGCTTTGGCCACCGCGGCTTCTGCTCACACTCCTGAAAGAGCTCTCCTGCCCCGGTTGCCTGGAAAGAGCGATGGCCCCCTTCCGGTCAACAGGAGCTGCCGCATCTGCACGCAACTCCTGCATCTTTGGACTCTTGTCGACGGTCGAAAATGCAATCCTGGACCCAGCGTCGCCTTGAGAATCCGGATGTGCATCTGGAACTTGTCCGCGTAGCTGAGGGTTTCGACCCTCCTGTGACGCATACCATGGCCCAACAAGCCACCATGAGAGAGCAAAGTGCAGATGCCTGGTGCCTGGCACGGCGAACGTGCGCCCGCACCAAGATGTGCCTGCCTCATTCAAAGCATGCCATGACTTGCGCCAAGCATGCGCAAGCACTCTCAACTCCTCCTGCAGATCAGAAGCGTGCAGCATCGAGCTTGCCAGCAAAGCAGGGATGCAGACATTGCACCGCCCAAGCATATTACAGATCGAAGGCAGTCAGGGAAAGTTCTGCCCCAGGAAAAGGCTGAAAGCACCGTTGCGTCGTCTACCATGATGCATCCCACAAACTGACAAACCAGCGAAGCCGAAACAGCTGTTCCTGCGGCTGGGACGTTGTGCGCATGTCATGGACAGCCACACCAGGCACCTCTTCGGACACCACAGCTGCGAGACCGACCTGGAAATCACATCTGAAGGATTCTTGGCGCTTGGGCCACATTCAATGTCACATCCCAGGCGCTGCTCTGCCGTTCTCCCCGCCCTCTGCGCTTGGGGGACACCTGCAGCACATGACGCATCCCGATGCCAGAAGCCCACATGTGACACTTGCGCCTCAAAGCAATCATCACCTCAGATGCCACCACCGGCTTCCGAATGCTTCAAAATCTTTCCACCCTCCATGCCAATGCAGCCGCGGTACTCTGCGGACCAGCTGTAACACTGCTGAGTTTGTCTGCAGGAAGCTCCTGCAATGCCAGGCCCAAGTATGAGCAGAATACAGCACAATCTAAACAACCCCACACCCTTTGCATCAGGCAAGGGCCTTGTCCACATAGATGCTGCGAGATATTTCCTCAGCATCCCTTGCATCCCTTCTCGAACGCGAATCCGACCTCGTGAGGGAGAGAGACAGAGAGAGTTCTTAATAAGTTCTTTCTTGTCCGGCGTATGTTGAAGACATGCAGAAGTGCTCACGTCAAGCGAAACGTCGCACAGCCCTTTCTGCCGACTGCTTCTCGAGGCGATCAGGCTTTCATGAAGACCATGGTGCCGTCCCCGGAGAAACCAGCGATAACATTGCGAGAAGGATGGTGCGCTATCCCAATAACCTCAACGAGGTCGAGGTTGGCACATCTGCTGCTGACAGAATTCGCTTGAGAGAGCCCAGCCTCCTTCTGTGCCACTTTGAGCGTTTGCTCCAAGGACCCTGAAGCCACGGAGAAGCAATACCTTGGAGTACAACAATAGCCGCTTCAATAGCCCTGACCAGATGTGTCATCGACCTTATCCAAGCGGCAGTGTGTTGTCCTCTGCCACCCCGTACAACCATTCGCCTTTTGGAGATGTCGTCCTTGCGCTGGAACAGCGGGCTACTGTCTCGACTGTTCAAACCTACAATTATCCAGACGCGCCAACTTGCGGCGAGCATCATGGCGACAAAATCACCTTTGTCGCGCTTTCCCGAGCAGAAGCTTTTCAGCACCTCCGAAACTGTGTCTCAAAGCTCTGCTCTTTTCCAGTTGCGAAGCGAGGAAATCTTCACTCCTTGCCCACAGTTGAACATGTTTGTGCCAGGCCTGCCCAGCAAGGTTCATCAGCCTCAGCTGTCACGACGGCAACTCACAAAGTCAGCGAGCAGCCCAATCTCGGAGGGAGCTAAGGCTATGGCAGGATGGTGTTGGTGCGAGTGCAAACCTTGGGTTGTCCCACAAAGAAAAGGGGAACCCACCCCCCCCCCCATTGGCCGGCCAGTCTTCGTGCGGATCGAGGCTCGAAGATCAAGTCCTCGTGCTCACTGTAGCCAGGTATCTTCGGCGCCACTAGAGCCTTGGGCTTCCATAGTTTTCTTTGTTTATCGTTTTGTTCCTACATGTTGCCTTGGTGTGGCAGCTTTACACGTGGGGACTGCTTTGCCAGGGCGCGCAGTTCACAGAGTAGTCCATGATGGAGCTGCAATGTGAAGGCGGAGGTGGCGTAATCGTATTGATGATTTCCGTGGTTTTGGCATCGTACACGAGGACATGGCTGTCCTAAGCACGGGAACTGACAGGAAGCATTGAAGTTCCCAAATGACAAAGATGCAGCAAGCATCTGGCTTGCCGACAGTGGCAAAAAACAAGTCCGCTTCAATTGGCCGAGCATCTGATGAGGCAGTAACTATGCGGGCATTGTCTTTGGTGTAGACAGCTGAGTTTACGTAGGATTTGTGCCCCCTGAATTCCTTCAGCGTCTTGCCAGACTTGATGCCATGCACTCGGGCAGTAAAGTCAAAGGAGCCTGTGAGCAGCTGTGAAGAATCCTTGGCCCAGGTAATGCAGGTGATGCCCTCGCTGTGAGCCTTCTCGTAGCGGCGGGCACATTGGCCGGTGGCGATCCTCCAAACCTTGATTTGGCCGTCCTGCGACCCTGTCGCCAGCAGTTCAGATTCTTTGTTGAAGGCCACGGCAATGACAGCCTTCTCATGCATCATAAAGCTTCCCTCGTCCTGATACTGCAGATCCCTCCGCAGCGTTCCAGTCTGATGGTCCCAAACCTCCACCATTCCGTCAACTGAACCGGAAACGCAGAATTGGCCATCCGGCGAGAACGTCACACATTCTGGATGGGATTTCTCACCAAATTTGACCTGACTCGCATAGCATCAGCATGTATGCAAAACACAACGATTGTAGCCATCAGCTCCCATGTTTTGGCAGCCAAGGCACTGTTCTTGCAACCTGCGTCGGGCACATTTCCGCCTCAACCTCGGCATCTTTGGCCACGCCTCTGAAGACATCAATTCTGGCCTGAGTTCCGGGGTGGAGCACAAGACCACATTGAAGTAGCCCCTGATCTTCTACTACTGGCGCTTCCTTGGCCTCCTTGGTCCTTCTGAATCTCTCTCCGTGCCAAGCAAACAAGCCACAGCACGATAACGAAAGCAAGAAATGCTTAAAACTCGTGTCGGCCCAAGCAACGTTCTTTGGAAGCAGGCCCACGTGCTGTTGCCATTTCATAGCCTGCCCGACTAGTGCCAATAGACGCGATGGAGGCGCCACCTGCAGGCCGGTACCACAAAAAGCGGCGCATCAAACACACAAAGAACCGCTGATGTGGCCCCGTCCTGGACGTGCTTGCCTCGGCTTCTCTTTGTCTGAGTAACCCTTTGTGGCGCTGTCTAATGACAAAAAACACACAGGGCCTGCTCATTCGACTCATTCCCACATGCTTTAATTCTTCTGGGGTGAGCGCGTTGCTTCACGTCTTGATACACAAGAAAGATTGAACGCAGGGAAAAATTCGTGCGGGCATGCCATCGACGTCGTGTTGCTGATGCTTTGGGCAATATTCCCTCGGATCTTCTCCTTGCTCATGCCCTCGTACGCTTCGGATGCATCGAAGTGATGCTTCTTGACCAAAGCCTCACAAGCAATGGAAAAACATCTTAAGATCTTACGAAAGAGAAGAGCAAGCACATGCGGTCATGCTATAAACCGCACCTCAATGCGCAAATACCTGCCATCACACGCAAAGCACGGCTGCAAGCCAAGAGTGAGCCTGTGAAAGACTTCCCCCGCCTCTCAGGATTTGCCTGCTTCAACGCGTTCATCGGAGCCGTCTCCCGCAGCAAATGATGAGCCGTCTCCACCTCACGAAGCTCAGCGAGCTCGAGCACCACCTTCAAGCGTGCACCGAGGCTTCCAAAGCACTCAGCTCGGCTACAAGCGGAAGTGCAGGTTACAAGGAAATCACATACTGCCACCGCAAGCCTGGCTGTACAGGTCCTGAAGGACGTTGGGTGGCAAACTCAGGTAGGACACGGCCTGCCTGCACACACACACACACACACACACACTTCATTCTGTTCAGTTCGCCCTTTCGCTGCAGCTAACTGCAAACAAGAAGCAAGACTGTGTCCCAGTGACCTGCTGCAGATGATGTCTCTCTTGTGAAGGTGAACGACCGTCACAAGACAACCGGCAACGAAAAGCCTCTGTTTACATCGCTCAGGAGCGCATCCAAGGAATCCACCGCGTTCAGCGAAACCCGCGACTCTTCTTGAAGACACTGCAGAGTCCTGCGTAGAGGTTCCCTGGGCCCTTGCAAGCTCGTTAGAGGAACTCTGTACATCCCTGCACACGCCTGAAGAGGCTGTTCTCCTTGCAGAACCTTCCAACATGCAAATGTGCTATGGTTGACGATGCAGACGAGGGGGATGGAGTCGCGTGCTGCCAAGATACTGAAGAATCAACCTGACGCAGACGAAGACCAATGCTCTACATTGTACTTGATAATGTCTGATGCAAAAAAAACCTCGAGATTGCACGTGCTTGCAAACTACTATCCTTTCGTGCTTGCACATGTCGGGTGCACTGCTCATGCAGCGAGGGCCTGACGATGTCCGCACTGTCAACAGTCGCACTGGTACCGCTCGCCGCCATTGCGATTCGACCATCTACGTACAAGCCCAAGTGCACGCCAACATCTTGAAGACTAGATTGCGATATCGTCCTCACATTCTGAAGCATTCTGATAAGCATTCTCAGCAGCATTCTGTTCTGCCACACAGAAAGGCACATGATGTTGCAAAACGCTGCAGAGAAGCCGCTTCGCAGATGGCGAGGTACAACTGTCGTGCAGAACTGACTAGAGGCAAGGGCCATTAAGTGCACGGCCTACGGCGCGGATACATCACCACACGTGTCCTGCGGGCTTGCGTGACGCAAGCTTCACATCCCGAAACAAATTACAAATCTACTGATGCTCTGCTTTGAGAGACGAGGTTGACAAGACAAAATAGCAGCCACAAACTGGGGGCCGGATGAAATGGGCACAACCACGTTTGGGACAAAACCGTGCTGCGGGAACAGTGTGACTCGATGCGTCGATTTAGGCACGAAACAGCTGGTACTGGCTCGCCGAGAATGCTGAAGAACCCCGGCCAGGGAGGCCGAGTCGCGGGAGGAAGGCTAAACCAAGCCTCCCCTCCTCCCCACTGCAGCAAGGCAGAGATTGGGTTCAACACCAAGTAGGGCTCGGCCAGGTGCCCAATACAGAGCTCACAAAACGCAAACTTTAGGTTTTGCTGGTTTCGCCCCCAGCCTCACTCTTTCCCGGCTCTCTGCCACTCTCCTACCCAAGCTGGCGCCCGTGCCTCCCTTCCTTGGGTGCGGAGTGTTCGGGGCCCTGGCTTTTGGTCGGCGACTCGGGTGCGATGGACAAGTACGCGCACAAATTTCCCAGGCCGGCGATGCCAAATGCAGTCCACAACGCAGCCCCAACGAGCCCATAACATGGGCCGGGCCAGCCACTACAAACAGCGGGGTGCATAGGCATAGGGCAGAGGGGCAGGCATAGGGCGAAGTTCATGGACGGTCAACATAGCAAGTGGAAAGTGTGACTTGTAGAATGCCCACGCAATGTACTCTGATGTCAGGGCTCAGCGATTCCAGCCCGTGGCCGGCCTTCCATCGGCCACGTAGTTTTCCCGCTCGTAAGTATCGGCATTGCACCTCCACATGAGTTCAATGCAAGGAACGGGATGAAACGCGTGCACGCACTCGCCTGTCCGAAGGTCGAAGCGCAACTGCCGGATGCCTGCGAATCCCAAGCGGCTTAAGCTACTCTCCGACACGCCTAACTCAGCCATACATGCAGCAACACTCATGCAACACACTGCGCACGTGCCATATGTTCCTTTTCCCAAAGCCGCTACGTCCGCTTCGCTCGTTGAGCGAACAGATGCGAAGACCCCACTAAGAAAGCATCGTGCCACGTTTCCGGCGTGGGAGGGAAAGCAGCAAGGATTTGAGGTTTGGAGCTGGATCCTCAGCTTTGGGAACCCCTGCAAACTCGTAACCACAGAAAACGGCAGGATGAGGCAGCCAAATGTGGATGTGCTTTTGCATGCCGAGCATCCTCACTGCTTGGCGCAAGGAATGATGTGGGAACTGTGTGGGTGGTTTGGCGCCTCACATGACGTGCAGAATGTGCTAGGGCTGCAGAGCATGCCTGGATCATTGCAACTTGCTCGGTTAGCCGCTTAGCCGAGTCTCACAGAAGCCAGCGATACTTTGCTGTGGCGCGGCATCACTATCCTGCTATTGTGGCTGCTGAAAAAGAGCACACTGATTGTCCATCTCTCTGCTGCAAGCGAATTTTTTTTTCGATTGTGTTGTGCTGCAAAGCGTCGGGAGCAGGGCTGAAGGGTCGGAGAAGCTGTTGGCAGAAGCCGGCGGCCGCAGCACTTGTCGGAGGGCAAGCAGTTGCCGGTCGCTGATGTGGCCGCGCTCCTCCAACACATGCCACCTGCAACGCAACGTAACTGTGGAGCGAGCAAGCATCCTACATCAACACGAGAGGTTTTTAAGCACACTCGGCACCTAAAGCAGTGCTGACCCTTTGTTCAAAGGCCTGACGTGGGCACACTGGGACTTGAGCAACCGCCCGCTGTAGCGGTAGTAGTGTCCGGCCACTCCCCTCGAAAAAGCCGGGTGCATTAACATGGGATCGGACCCCTGCACTTCCACAACCTCGCCGGCCCGCGGAAACGCCAGCGACGCGTCCATGTGTTGCAACCAAGCATTCTCAGCATTCCTGTCATTCTTGTCACCAACATCCATGAGCAGAGCCACGGCCAGTGCCTGTGTCGGATCTGCTGGGAGGTGCACCAGCTGAATCTCTGCATCTGCACGCTTGCCAGACGAGCTGTGCTCACCTGGAACACTGATATCGGCAAAAGTAATGGGCAGTTCTTTGCCATGTACCAGTAGTACCATGACTGGCTTGTCACCAGAGATGCGAAGTCGATCACCCAGATTAGCCACATGCAAGTGTGGTGCTTCTGCTGCTGTTTCTGCTGCAGCAGCATCAGTCGGGCGCAGCGGGGTTGCAGACAGACGCCAGAATAACAAAGCCTCGGCCGCTCCTGCCACTGCAGCATCCACATGCTCCATCTGAGTCAGGTCCATCTCTAATGGGGAGGAAATACCAGCCACATTGCAAGCCTGAGTGTGCGAACTGCCTTCTAGAAAACTCGGCGTGGCAGCAACTGCTGCGGTGGCAGTGGTAGTGGTAGTGGTCTGAGCGGTTGTGCTCGCGACTGTGGTTGATACGGCCTGCGTGGCCTGGGCGGGCGCATTCGAATCCCAAACAGCGGACTTGGCACTGTCGATCTGAGCCTGCAATGTCTCAACCGTGCGACTTGCACCATCCACCGCAGCTTCTGCGTTTCGAAGGTCATCTCGCCGTCTGATGGCTACGTTGTAAGCATCATTGCTCACGTTCGAAATGTTTGAAGCAATCGCCAGAACAGATGCATCCATTGCCTGCCAAGTGTCATGAGCAGACACACACACACACACACTTCGCAGGAACAATGGCTCGGTAAAGTTGAGACTCCTGCACCACATGGTACCCCCCCCCCCGCCACGATTCTGCACCTTCCATCTCTGCAAAATACATTTCATCTGCATGCCACACTCTCCCTTAGCAAGCTACACCACCAAAGACCCCACATGCAATAAATGACTCAAAATATAGCGGAAAAAAGTGAAGGTCCACATGCCCCCGCGTTGTGACATGCAGAAGGCTTTCACTTCTGATCCTGTTCCATAGGCTGCATTGTAGTTTCAATGGTCATTTTTTGTCGGTGTCAAACAGCTTCATTTGTGCTCGACTTGTGTGTATAAAGAGACAAATACCATATACACACACATGATATACATGTGCACACAAAACGTTTTCAATCAAGCAAGCGGGCAAACACGTTTGGCCTTCTTGGCATCTTCCAACTTCGCCGTGTCTTCTTTAAGAACACTCGTCGCTTCTGACAACTGTGAACTCAAATCCGTTGCTGTCGGAAGAGCACAAGTACCTGGGCACGAGTTGACAGATAAATCAGCCATTACTGTGAAAGAGCAGCAACTACCATCACGGGGTCAGGGGCGGAGCCTCCACGTGGACATGGTTGGACCATCCTGGCGACATCGGTCAGGGATGCTGCCAGGACACAGGGAGCTTTGCTTGGCTGTGTTTTTTGCTACTAAAGTCTGCCGCGGCTCCATGTCTGTGCTGGAGGCGTAGCTGGCGCTACACTCGGCGTCCATTCCAGTGATTTCAAGACTTTCGCCAGAATTGGCTTGGACGTGGCCTTCGCTGGTCGAGATGTCATACAAATTTTCAGTAACGCGCACCGTGCTCGACAAATAACTCACACTGCATCGAAGCAGCCATCGTTGTATTTCGCATCAATATCCGTGCACCAGCAGTGCTTTGATTACATGACGTCGTAACATCTCCCCAAAAATGCTGGAAGGAAGCCTCAGTTACGACACTCACCAAAGAATCACTCCACAGAACACGATGCATCGCATGAAAACTTCACACAATGCAGAACGAGTGGCTCCTTGGAATACGTGCTGAAGCTTGAGAGGCAAAAGACTTGTGACCAGCACGGGCTGTGTCTCCCCCACCTATTCACACGCGTCAGGTGCAATGGCCCTCAAATTCCTTCTGCGATAAAGCTGATGGCAGCTTCTTTTGGGCTGTGCACCCCGCTCCTCATCCTGGTTTAGGCTTTCCGGGGCTTTGAGGGTATGGCGAAGCACAATCGCCACTCGGACGTATAGTATAGATCCTCCCTGAACAAGAGCTGAGACCCTAGGCGAACATGAGGCGAAACAAGACCTTCAGATAGGTGGGCTGATTTAGGGCTCCTTCTTCGTGGTTTGTACCCGCAGATGGTGCAAGCCCCAAGCTCAACCCAAACTGAACACCCAAACCCTTTACTCCTGTTCGGCCGACACAGCCGTCGCAAGATGTGATAGCCACATGACAACCCATTCTTGACGGACATCTACTTGGAGAAGCTACACCCTGTGATGTCAAAATCCGCCACAACCCCCGATTCGGCGACACCCCATTTGAAAGCCAGGAGTTTCGAAGACGTACTTTTTGTCATGCAACCACTGCTTTGGCCCCCAGCCTCTGTAGGTAAGTCAGCTTGGTCTACTAATGGCGCCAAGAGGTCCAGCCCAGGCTCTGCACCTTGGAGTGATGTGGATGGCCATTCGACAGCACAGCGAAGTAGGCCAAAACTACCAAAAAGTTGCCCGACGTGTTCTGGAAAATTAAGGTCCAAGCTGACCTCCACGGGGACGATCACGTTTGCAAAATATCCCGTCCCGGTCACCTGCTCACCGTGGCAAAGTGCACAAGTTTCGGCATTCGCCGATGTGAAATGATGTGAACACGGTCGGCCTCATGATGCACAAGCACAACCTCCAGCTCGTGGCTGAGCTCTTGCTTCGTCCCCTCCGCAACGATGGGCGGCTTTCGCATATGAATGCTCCTAAGCGGCCATAGGTTCGGAATCGCTTCCGCAGGGACAACATTATGGCGGCCATAGCGCATGCAGAACTTCATGACCGGTTGAACGAGCCAAACGAGCCGATTTCTCTTCTTGCAATCTGAGCTTCTGCAGAATATATTTCTGTGGCGCGCCTGCTTTGCTGGCCGATGACCCGGTCAAGTTGAAATTTGCCTAGGTCTGGGCAAAGCGACGTCAACGCAAAGCCATGACTGATCTCAGTCGAAAGGCGACGATGTCTGCAGGCGCTGAAATGACCAGCGCACCATCGGCTAAGGAAGCCATTAGGGGGCTTCTGTACCTGAGTCACCCTGCGCATATGCAGTCACCAAAATGCCTGTTCTTTCCTCGATGCTGCCATCAAGCAGCAATGCGGCAAAACACAAGGCTACAGTAACTGCAAGCGAGACTCTCTTGGATATCATAATCAAGCAATACGGGTGCCACCAGCGAAGGGTTTTGCATTGCCCACCTGCCGCAAAGTTAGTGCAATGTGTCGTGCAAATAACCCTTAGCTCAAGTGCCTGTATCTCGGGCCACTTGATCCAAGTATCGTCGTGCAGCCGACATTGGTAACACCTGTCAGGAGCTCACGGTTGCACGCCAGCATCCCTCGTCGCCCAGTGCCAGCTCTAACTTTGCATGCCTGTCGCCAGAAAAACTTCGGAGATGATCAGGAGCAAGAGCTTTCGCCCCAAGACCTGGCACCAAGCGGAGCCAATGCAGCACCCTCGAAAACATGCATTTGCACTTTGTAGAACCGCCACGTGTTTAAGTTCAACAGTGAAGCCAAATGCTTGTCCGGGGCACCGTCATTGGCATGTTCACGGCCAATTGGCGTGACAGCCCAAATATGAACCTGGACTACGCCACGCCAGAACAAGTAGAATGCGCTGACGAATGTTGTTTGTCAAGCTTTTTGGCCTGGCTTCCCAGGAAGAACGTCCACTATCGGGATGGTGGGATCGGCAGTGTGGCTATGTTCGTATCCATGAGCCAAAATGCCTACGACGGCCCGCAAGAAAGTCAGATCTGCAGACCACCTGCCAAAACACAGTTTTGTTAATCAACTCCTCTGGCAATGCATGGCATGATCTGACCACCTCGCTTCCGATGAAGGGAATGAAGGACCGTGGTACGGCGACCATCTGCGAACAGCGCCACGGCTCTTTGCACAAGGTGGGGTCAGCATGCTGCTGGCCAAGCAAGCTCAGCAGTCCTTGATTGCCGCACGTTGTCAGTCTGCATGCCATCCCGCATCCAAGGCGCATCCTCCAACACCTTGGGTCCAAGCATGACCATGTGACACGGCGGGATGTCGGATCATGTCTCATCCCAACTCATCCGACTCGCCTGCCTCGCCCATGCGAGGCCTCAACCTCCCAGTTGCTCGGGGATACAAATCTTGCACACGCGCCGACACCCTGCACCCTGACAACTGGGCTGCAAGCACGACATTCCCATTCTGAGACACTCCACCTTCGGACGGGCGTGATGGGGCCAAACCCCACGTTACAAAACGCAACTGTAAAACGCAGCTGTTCCTGGCACGTGCCTGCCAGCTCCATTCTCAGTGTGGCGGGAACGGTGCATCCATCCAATTCGGCATCATGGGCTCCGGCGCCCCAGCTAAAGCCGTCTGCACTCAAAGCAAAGCAGTTTATGTGCCATGTTGCGCTGTTCGTTGACTAGCATTGACTCCGCACGCCAAACAACACACGGTTTTCAATAACTATATAGTATTATATACTGTTGCTGGCATGCTGGCGCGGGCCATCGCGAGAACACATTGATGATAATAGGATCGTGCAGGAGCATTACGAACATGAACTCTGTTTTTGCTGTTTGATTTTTGGGCTATGGCTTCTCACTACCGCTAACACTATGCATGCTTTCATCATGTGTTCGCTGAACCATCACATGGCCGAACGTCTCCCAACATGCACTCACCGCAGAATTGTTGCCACTGCATTCGACTGACCATTGGACTGACCACTGCATCTTCAATGCAATACCGGAAATTGCCTCACCTCTGTGAAGGCATGTCTTTTTCTTTTCACGGCTTTCGTGACGGCTGCATGCCCTTCGCAGCAAGTTTGCGTTTAAGGACATCTGCTGGAGCTGAACCTAGAGGGTCGCCAGTCCCCCCATAAACACGGGGAATGTTGCGCACGTCTATGAACTCTGTCAGGGTTTGCAAAGACTTATCCTTGTCGACGCAGACGCGTAGCTTTTGCCGCTGGCTTTCCGGGAACAATGGCCCGAACAAATCATACATCCGCCCCCACCACTCTGGCGCATTGATTACGATCAACACATGCTCACGTTCAGGGAAATGTCGCTGAATTAGGGAAGACGTCCGCACAAACATTTGAATTAAACGCGGCGTCAGCATCGACAAGCTGAAGCCTTGCATGTCAACAATGATGGTGCCCTCTGCCGCACCATCCCGCTTCAACCAAACATCCCACGTGAATAAAGTTTGCCACACGTAGTTCTCCCTGATATCGTCGACAGTGATGCCTTCTCGGTGAAGGCCTGCCATGTCTATCCGTCCAAGCAGCTCCCAATAAGTAGTGCGCCCCTCTTTGTCGGGCAAATGCAAATACGTAGGGTAGTGAGGTTGGATGCGGAAGTAATTCGGGTTTGGACGGCTGACAATTCCATCATCGTCTATCTGGCATCGCCAACGTAACGTCTGTGCCCAGCGCTGCAAAGCTTGACGCCTGTCACCACGCGCTGCCTTCAACATGTACACTGGCAACGAGCGCTTGCACTTCGCCAAATCATCCTCACCAGGGTTGGATCCCAGCGCAGCCGCTTGGCATGACGGGGATATATATGCCTCACTGTGGGCAAAAGCCAGTGGTCGAAACCATCGTGCTTGCCACACCACCATAAAGCCAGCTATGATCCATGACAGGCTGCAGACCCTCATTTTCATGGCTGAATGCTAACCTAACGAGTGGCCACAGCCTATGAACACTCCAACATGGTTTGCGGCTTGCTAGCTGCACACACAACCTGTAAATACTTGATCATTCATTGCTTGCTGGTTTTTGCCCGATTTGTCTCAATGGGTGCAGACACACGGCTTGAGTCAGAAAGAAATGGTTACAAGGAGTTCGGGAACGAACGCCATGGCCGGCCCCACGCCAAACATTATCTCTGCAACACGATGCTGGATGTTTCTCCACCCCTCGGTTTGATTGCCGCGGGGAAGGCCAAGCGGACTGCGCAACGCACCTTGCTACACTCTTCTCAACGGACCTCTCAGCAGACCTTTCAATGCAACGTAGCGGGCTTTCGTTCCAAGATCTTGGATCTGGGTCGGAAATGGCTCCACACTAACTTCTCAATGTTGAAACAAAATAGAAATGGACATCCGCATCTGTCCCAATAATCCAATTTTTATATTTTTGTTCTGGGTTCGTGTTGACCTTAGGTAACGGCAATATTCAAGACCGAGCGCAAGATTAGAAATATAATATAAAAAAAAAAAAAAAAAAAAAAAAACAAGCTCCGCATTCGGTTTGGCCTTTTTGTTTTTTTGTTTGCCGTCAGCAAGGACCTCGTGTAGGTCAGGCCCAGTACCTTCGCTGAGCTCGGTGGCGGCGGGGTGTTTAAGAAGCGAGGCAGCATACGTTCGCAGCGCGGCTACAGTATTGATTGCAAGGAGGCCGGACCAGCGCGCGATCCTAGCGTTGATGGCGAAGCCTCGGCACTCGAACCTGCCCCCGACCTTAACACCAAGGCCCGCTGCGCATCAACCCGTGGATGGGTCTCGCCTCTCCAGGTGAACGGGAGACGATGGTGGCGTCGAGCGCTGCAAAGGGAGGCCGTTGACAACGACCTCAATGATCTCAATGCGGCTTTCGTCCCTGGTCGGTGGTGCATCGAGGTTCATGTCGGCCAGGCGCGCACGTGCCGCGCATACGGGCGACTGCGTGCTCGAGCGGGAGGGCTGGGGCGGCCAGCACGCCGAGGCGCATGTGGCAAGGGCAAGCGGATGCACGCGTCAGAGGGGCAGCACCCGGAAAAGGGCACTAAAGATGGTGAAATCAAACCGCGTCGACGATAGTGTGATTGCGCGCAGCAAGAGGCCCGGCTTGCGACAGCAGCAGTGCGCAAGATGCCGGGGTGGCAAGATGCAAGCCGCACATGTGCTCATCACTGGCTGAGGCGGTACAGTCAGACCCCGAAGTCATAACAATTGCAGTGGGGGAACCTTCCCCCCAAGGAATTGCACGTCATGACTTATTTCTTGGAAGTCGTAACGTTTGGCTTTCCCCCCAATGAACTGCTGGGATTCAAGCAAACAAAGCAAATATGCAATAGGTCCTTTTTGCACGGAAAACCAATAGTCGGCACTCATAACATTTCGGTTTCCCCCCAATGAACCGCTGGCGACACAGTAATCGATCGCAGTGTTTTGCGCAGCCTTGCGCTCCACGTTTGGGGTTGAGGGTTTTGGGGTTTGGGAGCTGTGGGCCGCAGCGATACGTGCGGTGCCTGCCCCCCAACCACAATAGTTTCTGGCAAAGGAAAACCAGCAGATTGCTCTGAATGTTACGACTTCTTGTTTCCTTTCCCCCAGTGATTGCAAGCAACACAGGAAAAATGCTATGTTTTCGGGGTTCGACTGTAACCCGTTGCCGGCCGCGAAATGGGTCGGCGGGCTCCTCGACACGTCCGCGGGCAGGAAGCAGCAAACGGGACTTCACCTTAGTGTGCAGAGAAGGCGGTCAGCTGCAGCCGGGGCCCAGCGACGGTTGACGGGCAGAGTGTCGCAGCATGAGGCCCAGTGCGCGGTGTGGCGGTCAGCGGTCGGAAGGGTAGCCGTGTTGTGCTGATGCGCGTTGGCGGGGCAACGCGCGACCGTGTCATCGTGCAATCGGCAAAGGAAGTCGAGCGGTGCGGACGCAGGACTCGCAGCAGGTAATTGGCGCGGCGCGGCGGGTGGCGCACGGGTGGCCACGCAGCCCGCGAGTCCGCAAGGTGAGGCAGGCGGCGCTGCGATAGCTTGTCGTGTCCTTCCCGCTTGCCGTGCAGCTGCTGAGCGACGAGGTGATCATGCCCGAGCAAGGACTGTGAGTCCTTGGCACTCAGGGGGCAACCCAGAGTCGCGCATCAAGGTCGGAGCCAAGGGCACAATGCCCGCAGGTTCCTGCCCGGCAGGGTTCCAAATGCGGGTTTCGCCTTCATGCCGGCGGACTAGGCATCATCAAGGAAGCAAACATCGATGCGCCAGGGTATCTAGCGTCGGCATGAATGGATCCCCTTGTTCCCCGCCCTCCCCTTGACGAACCGCACGGGTTTTGAGCCCGGCTCGCCGGTGCTGGGGGTCCCGTAGAACTGCCGGACGTAGGCGAAACCTCAACCGCCGGCACACCAGCCGTTGCGGTCCGGGCCGGTCAAGCTCAGAGTAACACGCCACCGACTCACGGCGCCGTGCGACTTCCAGGGCCGCGCCGTCACGATGGCGACCTCCCGCTGCGGCAGCCCATCCGCGCGCAGGGGCGACACCAGCATATGCGAGCGTAACATCGCCGCACCTGGTGGCGACATACAAGGACGTGGCAGCCGCTGCCAGTACAAGAACCAAACGACCCGGTTTGCCGGCCACATGATTTGGTTTTGTCCTGTGGTGCGAGAAACATCGGCAACAGAATTGCGACAGGAGGCGCGTCGACAGACACGCACATCAAGTATCGGCCATACTCAACTGCTGACAGCCCTGAATTTCGATGAGAACTTTCAGGCGTGGGCTCCAACGCAACCGAACCGATGCCCGCATGATCCGCATGCGATGGCCCAAGCGCCGTCTCCAGGTCATGATGCTTCGTGTCTGCGCAGGTGCTGTTGTCGTGGGTGCCAAACCCCGATTGACGTTGTATGCCGAAGGGTATTGTTGAGCGCACTGTTATGGTCGCAGCTGCTGCAATTCAACCCCTCAGTCGATGGTTCCGAGCACTTTGCTGTTCATGGCTTGGTTGGTCTGTTGCATGCTTGGGACATTGACATGTTTTGTGCCTCTTGTCTTTGCCGGCTACACGTCTTTGTGCTGTGAGTTCCTGCGATGGAAACGCGCAACTTGCAAACGTAAGCTGTCTGTGTGTATATGTCGATATCACTCTGTTTCACCTTGCACGCGAGGCTGAGCAGGTCATTGATAGCCGCCTCCAGGAGCCGCCGGCTTGGACACCCTCCTGCGGTCGCAAACTGGCGTGACACAAAAAACAAACAAGATGTCGTAGGACCAACAAAAAATCTTCGAATCTCGCAATTCGCGAATACTTTTGAACATTTTTTGCAAATGACATGGATGGCCCTGCTCCGCGCTGACAAGCGGACCTCATGGAGTGACGAGGCGTGCGCGCGCTGAGCGCCACCGCCAACAGACCCGTCCATCTGTGGACGCTAGCTTGGCGTGTGGCGGGTCGCAACCGCGTCGGGGCCGCACGGGCGCGGGCAAGCTTGCAGCGGCGGGCCGCCAAGAGCTCCGGGTAGGAAGGTGTCTTGGCGCTTCCGCCTAGCCGTGTCGGAAGCGGCCGCGCCTGGCTCGCGATCTGCCCTCGCTCGAGCCGTGTTTTTTCTTTCCGCTCCTTTTTGCACCCGCTGTCCTGGGTTCAAGGGTCGGGGCTACCGTCAGGGCCGTCAGGGCTCACAGTCCGGCTGCCCTGGGCGCTCGGCGAGCAACTCCCCCAGCGGCAGCTCCTGGTCATCCCCCGCGTCGCACGACTGCACCGGCAGCTCAAGCAGCGTTTGCGCGTGTGCGCGCAGTGCCGCCAATGACGCAAGGCAATGCCACCGCCGGGTGAGCGCCCGGCCGACTCCGCGGGTACGTGCGCAGTTTGCGCGCGCAACTGGGCTCAACGTCGGCTCCTGGACGGGGCTGCAGTGAGGTGACGAGCGTCGTAGCGACCGCGATCTGGGCGCCGCGCCACAAGGGCAGGCCGTTGGCCACGATGCGGCGCCCGTCTGTGGCAGGGACGTCGATGTTGAGATCGCGGAGGGCGACGCTGGCCACCACGCGTGCTCGGGCCTCTCGGCAAATGCGCCCCGCTGCCCGCTCGAGTGGGCCCGCACGATGTGCGAGGACCCCGACTTGCGCACAAGCTGTGCGGTGATCCCCGAGGGTATCAAGGGCCCGGCCGCAGCGACAACGCCTGGGCGCGAACAGGAGTGGCAGTCGGAGCACCATGACGCGGTACTCCGCATCCGGCACGACGAGGTCGGCACTGGTGGGGAGCGCCGTCAGGGCGCAGCTGGCCATCCCCCCCCTGCGGCAGCAGCAGCGCCTGAGACGCAGGATCAAGGTCACTGAAAGGCGTCTCGCACACGCGCTGGTCGACAGACTCAGAGGCGCTGGCGTACCGTTGGTCGACAGAGGCGCTGGCGTACCGCTGCCACCCCTTACGGGCCGGTGGGACGGCCGCTTGGGTGGGGTGACGCCAGCATCGGCCGCATCAACTCGGCCAATGTGCCCGGGTGATTGGCAGTGGCATACCTTTGACGATTTCAGGTCAGGCGAGCTTGAAGAAACGGAGCCCGAGGAGACATGCATCGAAACTAGCAACGCCAAGCATCAATACATGCTGCACTTACAACTGTGCCACCAGGATGAACGCATGTAGGGCATGCACCGTTGCAGTTTGTCTCCCAGCCCTGCGTGGGGCTCCAGCTGCCGTGAGGGGGGAAACCAAGGTAGTGTCGACAGATGTCGACAGCAAGCCGCGCGCCCCCCCAGAGAGGAAGCCCATTGGTGATCACCTCTATCCGCCGCTCATCCTGGCACGGCGTATGTTCAGGTCTCAATTGGTGGCGACATATGGTTCCAGCATCGATCCAGCGATCGCGCCCTTTACGAAGTCGACGCAAACAAATTCCTGAGGTGAATGAGTGAGACCTGCAGCCGATAGGCAGCCCCTCTGGGGCGCAGGC